ATTGCTATTTACTTAAATTTGTTTTGAAACAGTTGAACAATAGAATGGAATAAAACCTGTTTCTTTAAAATGTATCAATATGTATTTTACTTAAAGAAATACGTTTGTATATAAGGTACATTAAAAAAATAGTTTTTTATGAAAGATTGTAAATCACGGATCAATTGTATTAGAAAATAACTTCATTGCAGTTAATTTCATTAATATATTGTCTCGTTGAAAATGACAAAATATATTATAACATGTACTAAATGATATACGCAACATGTTACGAGAATATGTAAGTGAGCAATTAGTAAGTAACTTACACTCATCAATTATCCCATTTATATACATTATAAAATAAAAAAATCTGATGTTCTGTTCAGATCATCTATGTAATATTCGGCAAAATAGAGAATGTTTTGGATTACAAAATTGAAAGTTTATGAAAAGTAGTTTTAATATAATCACATAGATACAATATTGTAAACGCCCTTAATTATATTCTTTTAATATGATAAAAGCATCCATTCTAAACTTCAATTAACTTTAATAAACATTTATAAGCATTTTTAAAACTAAGATCTTTAAAGTTACAGTAAGTCTGCATATTCTGCCATAAAAAAACAGATTTTTTTCTATAATAAAATTTGCAAAAGTATATAAATTTACAGTTTGCGTTCATCTTTAAAAAATGGTAGTATGATACTATGTACATTTCAGATTATTTCTCGTAATTGGTATTTATCTTGCCCTTCAACACATTCCTCTTCCTCTCTCTCTCTCTCTCTCTTTCTCTCTATCTCTACTTCCCCCTCTCTCTGTCTTCTAGTATACAATGTTGTACAAAGTGAGACTAATGCCAATAACATTAATAATAGGATATAATTTTTAGTCTTTACATAGCAAATAGGAAATTTTTTTTTAATTTGTATAAAAATTTTAGGTTACTTTTGAAAAAATCCAAGATCATAAAAATGGAAGTAGATATTTATGTGGTTTGTAAAAGATAACTACTGAAAAGAAATCTGTGCTATTTGGTGATGAGAATATATTTTTCATTTATAAGAATATTACAATTAAATGCAAGACTTTTGTTGTACGTACTGCATGTAAACATTTTCTTTCCAATAGAATTATATTTCCAATAGATATAGATATAATAGAATTTCTAATAGAATTCAACAAAGGTAAGTTTAGTATGGAGCCATTTGTGTGAAAATAAATATAAATATGACAATAATCAATAATCAAATGAATGGAGTATTAGATATATATATATATATATATATACATTATTAATATATGACGTAAATTTTATTATCTCTTTTCCTGTGATCTATTATATAACCAGTTCAAAGACCCTAATTAAAAATATCATTAATAATTTTATTGTTTAATTTTTATTTTCTACAAATTAAACAACGTAAATGTAGTTTTTAATTCTGCATTACAAAATTTATATTTTGATTTAAATTAAAAATAATTAACATTATAATGTTTTTAATAAAATTCAAATCATAGCAAAGTTCTGACATATTTTAAACCCGTTAGTAATAACAGCTTCTAAATCATCACTTCGTTTCAATTTGTGTGAAGTTCATCTTCTTTTATTTTGACATGCATTATTTAGAAATATATCTATGCAAGGAGATTATTCGTTTCTGCTTTATAAAAATTTTAATTCTATTAAAATCAGATTAGTCTTCATTAGTGTGAGTTAGAACATTTTAATTTAGCTGAAATACTAGATAAGAGAAATTTATATTATTTGTATTTTTGCATCATTATGATCGAATGGTTTTTTTATTACTTATATTATTGTTAACATGCGATATACGTATTTCAATTAAATACAATTTTTTACAATTATTTTATTTTTTTCAAAAATTTATAAAAATGACAAAAATTTGGATTTAATTGCTTACACATATTTTGATTGAGCATATTTATATTTTGCATATTAATTCTTGCTAGTAACTATATGGTTTACATAGATGGTTTAAATAAAAATAATAATAATAAATAATAAATCTATAATATAAACATTGAGATTAGATATGGGAAAAGGAATTCCTATATAATAATTAATTTAAATTAGAAATGAATAGATTAGAATTCATTGGTAATGATGAATCATAACTTTACAGGCGTTTTTCATACTATGATAAGGCCCTTTCAAGCATTTTTAATTTCATACTATGATTCAATTAATATGAATTGAAAATTATTTATACATTAAAATATGCTTTATATTTAATTCAAATTTTTATCGGATTGGTAAAGTTAACTGGAGTAGAATTTGAGATTTTTATATTTTTAATTTACCTCTACATCAGCTTTATGATTATATGCTTTATATAAAAAGTATATGTCAATAAGGAAATATTATATTTCGAAATTTATATAAAATAGCTTATACAAAAGTATAAAAGAGTTTAGAATTAAAAAATTAATTATTTTTAAAATATTCGATTATCAAAATAAAATTAAATAATATGAGCTACTAAAATACTAGAAATAATATCAAGAAAATAAAAAATAGTACTACGTAACTAGATCATTTTTTCTGTTGCTCAATATTGAATGACAATTATTTGCTACATTTTAAAAGAACGAATAAAATTCTTTCTATCAATATCTATATTGGAAAAAAATCATAAAAAAATTACGTTTCATAAATAAAGAAGGACATAGCCTTCCGAGGTGCTTCACGGCGAACATTCAATATTTGCTTCTTTCTAGTTGCTTTTCTCATACTATTGCATACTTCAGATGTAATGTATTACCTTGATTTGAATGAATATTAAATCAATTCGAAGCTCTGGATGATTAAATCTCATGGAATTATGCAACTTGCTTTGAGTATACTTTTCTTTGTTCGATAAGTAGATAAAATAGATAAATTTATTGTTAAACAAAAACAACATAGTAACTGCAATTAATGAAAGTTAAATACATTAACTAATTATTTAATATATGATATATATGTTTAATATATATAAATATATTTAAAAATTAAATATATATGCATAAAATATAAGAATAGCCACATAAAATTTCTATTTCCTTAATTTATTCTACGAGTATTATTCCTATTTAATTATTAAATCATAGGCGATAGTTATAGAAATTTATAATAGATTTAATTATCACAATTTTTTTAATAGTTTTGTTTATAGAATTAATAATATAAAAATAGTATAAATAGATCAATATTATTTATAATTATTAGAAATCATATATTAATGTCAACTGTCAAAAATTATCATTGTCTAAGAGTAGAAAAAAAAAGTAATAAGGTATATTATGAATGCATCTACACATTTTGATAAGTTATGTAAATGATCTGAAATATTTGAAACTCACGATAAAAATGACGAACACAGTAACTAACATATGTGATATATTAATCCAGATACTGTTTGAGATTATTATATATGTATATACAGTAAAATATGGGGGGTTTCACTATTTGGTAGAATAAATTAAATGTATATATTATATTAAATTAGTACTAAAAATTTGTTGGACAAATTTAAAAAAATTTGGACCATTTTGAGTATAAGTTTTGAAAATAATAATTCAAATAGAATTCATATATTGATAAAAATTGCTTTTTTGCAAAAGATGTTTGAAATCCAAAAACGTCTTGCATTAAAATATACTATAATATATCAGTTTGATTGAAAGTAACTATTAATCGTTACTTTTAATCCCTTTTTATCAAGCATCGAGTATGCAGCATATATCGAACATCTTATTAAAATATTAATTTTTAAATAAAAATCAAATATATTATTTCAGATGACTATACAATAAAATAAGGAAAATAATCAATATCAACATAATGTATTAAGCATATTTTCTAATGAAATTATTTATAAATAATATTTTTTATATTTTACTAATTGAAAATGTATTATTCATATTTTAATGAAATTTTATATAATATATTTTAAATAATTAATAAAAATTAATGTGAAGTAAGGAAAAACGTAGCTTATATTTACTGTATTCGTTATATTTATTTTATATAATGTCTCGAATTATAAATCTAAAAATTTATTAATAATTATGTTTGAAAAGTTATTATTTAGTATTCAGTATCTACTTACAATTTTTTAAGTAATTAAATGTTCATGTAAATATACATACAAATGAAAGTGAGTATTCAAATTTAAATATTAATTCATTAAATTAATTCATTGAAAACTTAATTCATTGAAATCTAAAATTGAATTTTTGAGTCAAAAACTGAATGCATGTATTCATTGCTATAATAATTAAAGCAAATTATTAAAAGGATTTCTAGATATTGTATTGTGTAACGAATATTAATTTAATGTTTTTCGAAATATTAGGCTAATTTTTCATTTAAATATTGAATGAATACTTTAGATTGGAGAAACTTGGTTTTTTTCGTTTTCTATTAACCATTTCGTTTCAATAAATATTATTAGTATTAGAATATAAATAAATCAAAATATATATTATTAAATATATTTTAATTGCTTGCTGTTCTACTGCGAATAAAAATGTTTAAATTCAGAATATAATAAACATCAATCAAATCATCAAATAAATAATCAGTCAAACAAATAATGTAATGAAAAATTTGTATTCAATACCATTATATAAAGAATACTGTATTATATAGAGAAACATTTATTTAAATATATTAATATTCATTTTTATTTATATATTAATAAAAAAAACCCTATGATAAGGCAAAAATTTAATTTGTGATAGATTATAAAGAATTTTTATTTTCAGCATATTACCAAATATATATATAAATTTAGAAAGTAATTTATGTGTATCAAGATTTACAGATAAGACACTTATTTTTAAAAAATAGGTATTAATAATGTATTTTCTAGTATAAATTTGCACTTTTACTATATGATGTACATTTAAAAATTCTATTTATAATCGATTTCAAGCATAACATTAAAATCGATTTGAAATATTTTCTATAAAAATAGAAAATAACAATCACATTTCTTTCATTCTAGATACCTTGAAAAAGGCAATAAAATGAGGAATTCAACTCTATTAAAGTGGGCACAGAACTCAGCTAACAATAAAAATCAGCCAAGTAAAAATGGAGGTAAATTTATTTCATAAAATATTAAAAAAGAATTCCTGTATACGATTTAAAAAAATTTTAATATATATTATAATTCACGCATCAGAAATTTGAAATAAAATATTTTTGGTATAGTTTAAAACAAGATATTCCTTCCAAGTGAAAAGTTACATGTTACTATGTATGAATTTACTTTCAAACTATATAGTAGTTATTAGAAAATCATACAATCATGAAAATAAACTAATCAATCGTGTACTGAGTGATAATTCAATAACACATAATAAAATATAATAAAGTGTGTATAAATATCAATTCTGATAATTATAAGCTATCAATATCAGTTTTTTCTAAGCATAGTATTGCGTACCATATCCAATTATTTTTATTTGCCTTTAAATTGATTTTATAATAAAAATATTATTTGTGATTAATGATTTTGATTTATAGCTTAAATACGAATTTGTATGATTTATTTTAAAAACTTGTAGTTTTAGATAATTGAAGCAAAGTTCATTAAATGTTAATTTATAATAATTTTAGTTCTATTTTTTATTTGATAATAAGCTTTTTTCGATATCATTTTATTCCATTTTCTATATTTTAAGAATATATATATATAATAATAATTGCATTTTTAATTATTTGAAAAATAGGTATTTGTGATTTAATTAACTTTTACTGCAGAATTCTTAATTGAATAATGAATAATTGAAAAAATTATGTTGATAATTAAACAAGTGTTAATTCATTAATATTATAACATGGATAGAAGTTCATAAATATATAAAAAGTGACTAAGATTAAAATGAGTTTATATTGAAATAATATCATTTTCCAATTTTTATTATAAAAAAATACTACAATTTCTTCTTGCAGGCTCTAGTAGAAATTGGATACACCCACCAGATACACTTCAGAAAGGTCACATTGCTTACCTAGTCAAGGTATGTATAACAAAAAGATTTTATATAGCACATATGAATCTATATAATAAACGTTACTAAAAATTATGAACTCTGTATATATTCCATATATTTTAGTAATTTAATATATATTAAATTCCAATAATACATATATATATATATATATATATATATATATATACGCATTTATATATAAACTTTTTTTGTTTGATGCTTTTTAAAATAAATTTGATAAAATTGATTTATGTTATAAATAAAAATTTGTAATAAATTAGTTAGGTAGAAAATTAGTTTGAATAAAAGAAGAATCAATACAACATTGAATGTCATATGAATACATGTATTTAGCTATTGATTAAAAGAATAAATTGGTTAAGTTTCACTTATCCAGGATAATAAATTATCAACATAAATTGATTATAAAGTATTTTTATAAAGGATTTTTTCAATAAATTAAATAAATTAGTAATCGGTTAATCTTAATAAAAATTACAGCTATTGGAAGTCTATTTTTAAATGAACTGGTTGGAGATAAAGATTTTTTTTCAAATGACAGAAAATTGGAAAAAATAATCTATTTATTAGACACTAGTTGATAAAAAAAAGAATATATGTAAATGTATATGTATAATGGAAAGTAATTTTTTGACGTAATAATACCAAACAATGGATTTTATGAGTCACTCGACATTGGTCGAATATTGTATATTCTGAAAATACGGGCCTTTAAAATTACAATAGCCTTTTGTACATAATAAAATATAACTTTGCTATGAATAAAATATTAAAAAATTTTAACGATTTTCAGCATCAAAAACTTTTAATACTATTGAATTGATGACATAAAATCATAATAAAGTAATAATTGTATGTTTACTTGTTTTATTTATGTATCCCTAAGAAGTAATTTTCGTATTTTATGTACAGGCTATCTTTGTTTCTAAGTTAGTTTCAATATTTTATTGAATTTATACTTTGTATCGGTATTTTTAATTAAATAAGTATTTATTTTTACTTTTTATTTTTATTTTAATTATTATTACTATTTTTATATTTAATTTATGTATTTATTATTAAACGTTTTTTCAATAGGAATGGAATAACAAAATTTAATATATTTTATAATGCAATATTAAGTATAATGTAAAATCTTATTCCAAACATTGAGGATCTAACATCAGTTTACAGCTTATAGGTATTAATAACTAATAGTTACAGAAAAAAATAAGAGTAAAGAGAGAAATCTATATAAATTATGAACATTAAATACCTGAATCAATTTTACAAGTAAATTTGCTCTGCCAATATAATTAATATAAATATGAACAATAGTTTGAAGTATGTGCAAATTGCATAAATAAATATAATTTGTTTGTATTATCTATAACTAATATAGATTACTGCAAAAAAATGAGAATCTACATCTCTTTCTATAATAATTTTTTTACTTTTCATCAATTTTTTAATTATTAATAGAAAATTTCACTTTTTTATTAATACAAAGACATTATAAAATAAAATATCCTCAATATTTAAAAACGATAAAAATATTGTGTTTATATATTTATATTATTATTATTGTTGCCGTGTTATTAAATATATTAATATTGTTTATATCTTTTTCCAAATCGAAAAAAATATTAGCTTTAACAAATAGAATATCATATTTTTAATAGTTCTAACTTAACTTAAGTTTAAAAGTGAAATTTTAAATCGTTGAAATCATGTAAATTATTAAATGTAAAAAATATTGATCTTTTATTTTAGAAAAATTGATTTGTTATTAATGCAATAGAAGATTTATAACTTATTTCTTATATTACGTGTCTATGTTTTTAATAATATGTTAATTTTTCGCCTTAGAATTTGTTTTTGATTGTTAAATAATTATAAGTATTAAGCACGTAATTATTGGCAGACAAGATGTACTGTTATCGCTTGAATAAGAAATTTTGAAGAGAACAAATATATGCTTTAATAATAATGTGTTGATACGATATATGTAAACGTAGTTTAGAATTTGATAAAAAAAAAAGATATAATTTTCACTGACGATAATCGTGTATAAATAGTTAGATGTTGATTGTATAAATTTATGGAACTACATTTATAACTCCGATGATTACAGAAGCAAGTAGTATTTCAATGCGCTAATTAATTGACCTACTCGCGTCAAGGCAAAACAATTAAGCATTATCATTGTCGACTAAATATATCAAGTCTATGACACATATGTACTCTGCTTGCTATGGTGCATATATGCAAGTTGCGTTATATGACCTTGTGCAGCGCTGTGAATCTAAGTAAATGCTGTAGTATTTATAAACACCTTTATATCTATAGTAATCGAGTAGTTAAAGTTAATTATGCCATTTTCAAAACACAAGGTATTGACGAATGAAAGTATTCATTTTTTAAACTTCTAGTTTTAAACGATCAAATATACATTATGTTTTTTGCTTATTATTTAATTCTATTTACGCCCTTATTCTTTTTAATATAAATATAATTGATCTTTCTTCGTCTATAAAAATGATAACCAGAATTTTTATTTTTAACATTTAATGTGTATTCAAATTAGTAATTTCATCTTTAAAAATATAATTATAAGCTGTCATTATACAATTTAGAACATATAAAGCGCTTAATTAAAAAATTTACTTATTTATAAAATGTAAATAGACTATCATTGTTATAGTATAAGATGGAAAATTATTTAAAATTAATTATTGATTTGCAGTATCTCGGCAGCATTGAAGTAGATCAGCCAAAAGGTACTGAAGTTGTAAAACATGCAATACGTAAACTTAAATATAATCAAATAATTATGAAGAATGGAGGAATGAAAACGCCAAAGGTTGAGCTTACCATCAGCATTGACGGTGTAGCCATTCAAGAACCAAAAACTAAAACATCTCCAAAGGTACAATATTTGGTTGATGTCTTTTTACCCTTATCTATATAAGTAAATATTCTAATTAAGTTAAATATTAAGTCTTAATATTGAATATTTTATTAATCAAGTTGTAAAAATAACAATAAAACCAATGAAAACAATCTTAATAGTATCTTCAATATAAGCTATTTTCAAATACAATGATTTTTATTTTATTTGATCTTGAACGTAGTTTTTTTTATTCATTCATAATCTAGTGGTAGGTAATTTTGTTCGAATTGATTAATTTTAATAAAGTTTTAATCACTGGTTTAGTAAAAGGAATATAATCATCATTTTAAGCTTTATTTTTCTTCATAATAAACTTATTAATCTTATGTTTGATTAACTGTACAATATAAGAATTAATTTAACGATAGTATGGCCTAACGCTATTCTTTATGTATATTTTAAAAGTAGATTGAAATAAAGTTTTTTGTTATGTAACGGAATTTTATTAGCTATAAACCTATATTAATAAATGAAAGTTTCAATGTAATGTTCTCATAGACGGTATCCCTGCGTGGAAATATACATACGTTTATATATACACACGATAAGAATTATATAAAGAACTGTTGATATAATATAAAAATATAACTTTTTACAGCAAATTATGCAACAATATCCTTTACATCGAATTTCATACTGCGCGGACGATATGAACGAAAAAAAGTTCTTTAGTTTCATAGCCAAAGAAGAAGATGCCGATCGGCATACGTGTTATGTCTTTGTTAGTGACAAGCTTGCTGGGGAAATAACGCTAACAATTGGTCAAGCTTTTGATCTAGCATATAGGCGTTTTCGCGAGACATCTGGGAAGGATTTAGAAGCCCAGAGGCGAGCTATGATATTGCAACAAAAGATCAAACGACTCGAACATGAGAACAACGTTTATCGGCAACGCCTACAGGACATCGCTATTATTAAAGGCTTGGTTAGTCATATAAATTAATTTCATTGATTTTTCTCACCCTTTCTGCTCTAGGATCAAAATAATTTTATTTTATCAATCAAATCTTAACTTACTTACACTACTTTAGTATATGTTTATCGCATATTTTATTTGCTTATCACTGATTATAACGATTTGCTTTTTTCAGTTGTATACTTTTTAATTACAATTATTATATTCTGCAATAATTTGATAAGTAGAATTAAAAACAATTTTGCACTGGCAAAATTAACTAACAGAATGTATCTATTTATTTTACAAATATTATTTAAAATTTAGTTATAGGGGAATTTGGTAATAAAATTCATTTAAAAATTCCAATTGCTTATTTATATAAATTTCATCAAATTATTTTAATTATATTGTATTTTAAATTTATAATAATGCTTAATTTTCAAAATAAATAGTTTGAATTGATTACAAAGAATTGTCAAAAATATTTTACAACATTTATAAACAACAAATTAACATGTTAATAAATTAAGAAACTAATTTAGAAAGTCCAACCTTTATAAAATATTAAACATTTTCACATTTTCACATAGTCAAATAACAATTGCGATAATAAATAATTTTATGCAATTTCTAATTGAAGATTTTTTTTTAAAGTTAAATTAGTATAGTTAGGAACCTATGAAATAGAATTGAATCTTAAAATATAATTAATTTATTAGATTTTTAGATGTTTAATACAATTATTTATTTAATTATCAGTATAATTAAAATTATAATTTCCTACATTTATTATAGGTAAGGTAATGCTACAAAACTTGTTTTATTTTGATAAAAATTAATATACCTTATTTCAGGCTGATATAAGTTCATATTTGATTCAGCATGATATTCCTGATATTTTGCATGTTGCTGACAATTCGGTGTCTTCATTACCGATATCATCCTCAAAAGAGAATATTCCTCGAGTAAATGGAAACGTCGGAAAATTATTCATTAACGCTTATGCTGATACAAATGGAAATGCTTCGACTGGAGCACAGCAACCACCTCCAGTTCCTCCTAGGAGTTTCGAGAAATCTTTTGATGATAACTTCATTGGGTAATTAAATTTTTTGTAAAAAATTCTTTGTTTTTAAATAATTCTAATACTATTAATATATAAGAAAAAATATATGTATTAAAAGTATAATATAAAATTGTCTGTTGAATATTAATGTAATTGGAAATTGAAATATGATTAAAATTTGTATGTTCAATAATATGAAATGTAGAACAATACTATAAGTCATAAAATAAACGATTTCTATTCATAAAATATGTAACTATTATATAAAAGTAATATATTATATTTAATATCCATAAACGAATATAATATATTAATTACTTATAATAGAAACTATTGTTTTCAGCAATGAACCTTCATCGCCTCAAAATTTATCTAGTGGATTGAAAGTGGAAGGATTTTTAATAGATGAGTTTGATGAAGAAGATTTTAATCCACGAGCCTATGAGAGTACCTCAAATGGAATGACTAATCATGTGTTGAACAATAATTCATCCAATGGTCAAATTACTGCAGGAACTATTTTTACTCAAACAAATGGATTAAATTCACCACCATTGTGTAAAGACTATTTTAATATAAAAAATTTCTATTATTTAACAAATAATTAATTATTTTAAATTATAGTCATAAAAAATCTTAAATTAAATATTTATAACAATGAAAAATCTTAGTATTAAAAATAATTAATAAAAAATTGGTGTTAATCAATTATTTCAATCAGAATATTATTATTAATAAATTGCTGTTCATAACATTTTCTAGTTAAAACTCTAATATACTAAATTTTTAAATGGTTTTATAACAGTAGCTCCACCACCTAAAGCTAAAGATTCAAGAAGGCAAAATGGTTTAAAAGAAGATTTATTTGGAAGTGTGCCTTTTAATGTCGCATCAAATTTCATCAAGAATGATTTTAAAGATCCATTTGAAATGGGTGAATTTGGAGATTTCACTCTTCATTCATCACCCACACACCAAGATCTAGAAAATGCTATTGGTCTTTTGGATAAGCGATTATTAGAAATGAAGGTACTATAAATTGTTTCACTACATTCATTAACTGTTATTTTTATATATTTAATTAGCAATATAAAGTGATTTAAATGTTATATAAAATGAAATACTTGAGGTTTATCATTATCACTATGTATTTATGCCATAAGGAAATGGCAAAAATATTAATTGTTTATCAGTTGTGGTTTTCACGATTTTCTAATAAAAATTATAAAATCACTAATATTTTTGCATTGTTATACGACAGCTTTTCTTAAGAAATGTATAATAAAAATGATTGTAATTTACGAATTTGATTGAAACACTTTAATTTATTTAAAAGTCTTAATTGGCATTATTTTATTTTATTACATTACAAGTTTAAAATTATTAAATTAAAAGCATGCTTTATACAAATTATTAGATAAGACAATTGGACAATAAATTAGGATAGATATTGGACATATAAATCAAAAATTGATTTATAAATTTTTCAATCTATTAAACTAATTATACCGATATAATATAATTATAATGTTCAATCTTAATAAAAATTGTATATAACTAATTTTCTATTTGTGATTGATAATTTAGTTTAAAAATTAATTTATTTCAAGATAATATTTAATAAAAAAATGTATAATTTTATAATGATAGTAATTGCTCTTAAATATAAATAATATCCATTAATTGCATTAAGAACTTTTATATTATTATTTATATTTATACATCTATTACTTAATAGCTTTAAGTTAAGTATGGAATAAATTCTTATAATACTTTTAAAAAATTTAATAGCTCTGTTTTATACAAAAAATAAGACTTAGAAATTTAAAAAATATAATATAAAAATCAATGTATGAAGTTCAATTTAATATAAGTTATATATTATCTACATATAATTTTCAAATTATTTTTTAATATGAATTTAATATGCTAAATATAAATGATATATTAGTAAGAAAAGATTCTTAAGTTATTTATGTTAATTTACAGGATGGTTTTAGTCGAGGTCTGTCAATTGGAAGTGGTGACTTCTCTTTAGAAAGTTTAGATCCATTACGAAATTAATTAAGGAAAATTATGAAGCAGAAAGTCTTAAATAAAAAGGCTAAATGTTATGTGATAAAAAGAGAAAGCGAGAGAGAGAGAGAGAGAGAGAGAGTATTAGAACTTGACTTTCCAGACCAATGCAGTTCGGTTCAGGAAGGATGCGAGAATTAATCAATTGGATGATAGGTTGTGCATGTTAAATTAACATTAGTCAAATTTTCTTGAAAGCTAAACGTTTATCTACAATTGAGGAAGTTCAATATTTATAATGTCAACATCTGCCTATTAATTATTCTTTAATAATTGAAATATTACTTTGATAAATTCAAACAAGATGTAGGTTTTGTGTCAATTTGGCAATTGAAGCAAAAACAATAACAGAAACTTTAAAATCTTAAAATCAAGAACAATATTATCAGTTGTAATCAGTAATAATAATATAGTATTGTATTTATCAAGTGTATAACGACTTAGCGTTTAAATGCAAATATACCTATCGTTTATAAATTTATAAAACAAAATAAATATTTTATACTTATGTAAATGAGATTTGAATAGTTCGTTACACAAGTTTAATAAATATACGTATAATAATAATTTAATAGTAAATGATCGATATTATTTTTAACAATTTCTTTAAAAGCTCATTGTCGTTACAAGCAACTAGTTGAAATTATTTCTTCAGGTAATCAACAGAGCCCTTTTTCGATTTTCCTTGGACTTTATCTTCTCTATTATTTTATGTATCACACATTTTTGGGTCGTCCGTGTAACTGAAAGAATAATTATAATAAATTTTATGATGTGAAAAAAAGGTTTATAATACACATAAATCAAATTCAAATTAAATATTTGTGCAATAAGCTCAGCGCGTTTGCTATGAAAAAAAATGATTAAAATGTATTAATCTATTTGTAATATTTGTCAAATTATTTTTAGTGTCATAATGAATCTGTTAACAAATAAATATTGAAAAATTAATTTTATTAAAAATGCCTTTTTATAGCAGACTATCATATAATGCTTATATTAAACAATTTCAGTTGGATATACCATATTAAAAATTATAGTTAAGAGTTTTTATGAATTAATTAAAAAATTCTATCAGATATATCATAAATATATGCGTATGTTTAAATAATGCTTATTTTTCAATTGTTTAGGGTTCATATGAAAATCTCACTATTAAAATACGTTTTTAGATAAAATTTTAATAATAAATGGAATATAAATAATTAAATTATTATAATTAATTTTGCAAAAAGAATAGAAACTTATTTAAATAAATCAATTTTGAATATTCTTTAAATTTATATATCTTCATTTATTTATAATGAATTAAAACAAAAATTTAAACAAATTAAGACTTTTTCAACATGTATGGTAGCACGAATAAATATAAGTTTTAAAATTTTCAATTTGAATTCATATGTTGCTTAAAAAATGATAACAATTTTCATTTTTCTTTTGATTTATTATAATATTTAAAATTTAATGGTTTTAAATTTCGGAATTTATAAATCTACTTGTATAAAATATCAGTGTATAGTAAAACAGTGTACAGTACTAGAAACAGTGTACAGTATTAGAATACTCAAATTAATTAATATGTATATATTTAATTATACGTATTTCTCTATCAATTCATTATTCTATATTCGTAATGAAATATAGAGTAAAATTAATTCATATACATATATGTTCAATATTTTTGTCTTTTAAAGAATTATTTATAATTTTTATAAAAAATTTAATGAAAAATATTTTTAAATGTTTATATATTGTAAATATGATGTTTATAGTTTGTGGAATAAAATTAATAATATTACTGTAATAAAAAATAATTATTTGTATTAAAAAATAACAGTAAAAAGTTTATGTATTTGGTAAGTTTATAATTGTTAATATTTTATTATACTAAAATTTTAAGATTCTTAAAATACTATAGAATAAATAAGTAATAAACTGTATAATCTATATAAAACATGTGGTACAAACATATTATAATGAATAATATTTATATTTTCTAATTAAAACGAAGAATTATAGTAAAGTATGAATTTTTTTTATGTTAAAAAATAGATTAAAATAAAATAAAATTACAGCTTTGAAGATTAATAATTTTTTATTAAACATAGAAATAACTATGAAATACTGTATATTGAATAAAATATTAACATAAAATAAAAAAATTAATATATAAAATTTGTTAAAAGTAGACAATCTTTTATATTAAAACATATTGCATACTAAAAACCAATTGCATATATTTGAATATGCGTTTCGTGCAATGTATTCTTAAGGCTTAAGAAAATGAAAATTTCTATTTAGGAACAAATAAAGAAAAGTACACTTAAATTTAAATTTAATATTTAGAAATTGTTATATAACAATATTATAATGATTATATATTTTAGATATTTTGATTCTTAGAGTTATAATATTAATTGAAATTTGCAAAGAGAATAATTTTATTTTATTTCTATTTGTACCTATCGATTTTTTTATTACATTTGGTTTGGAATGTATCAAAACCATAATTGCTTATTTTAAATAATCGATGTGGAGAAATCCACGTAATTAATGTATATTCGCATAGTATACGTTACTTCATAAGTATACGTTAAATTATTAACATAATAAACCTGAAATTTATTGCTATTTACTACTTTATCGTAAGTTTAAGTAATAATATGGTAATACACATGCTATTATTTTACGTTGACTACCCGTGTTTTTGGAAACTTTTTTTTTATCTAAATAGGTTTTATGATCAAAACTGCCCTGTACAGGATGAATTATTTTTTGGTTGTAAAGAAATCAATTTGGATTTTTTAAATCAACAGGAAATTTTTTAATTTAACCATGTACACACATACACTATCTTCAGTGACTCCTTATACTTATTGTTTAGTTCTAAAATATGTAATTTGATGAAAGCGATAAGTAATAATGTAATTTATAATTTAAATATTGTACTGATTATTTTATTTCCATTTCATGTTTATTCTTTTGAAGCTTAATTTTATAAAATTCAACCAAAAACAGTTATATTTCAAATTGAATTCTCCAAAATAATTGTCTTAACAGATAATCAGCAGATAAAAGGCAATTTTTTGCCAGCTCATTGGCTTCTAGCAGCTTCTAAAAGACCCACTACATCCAGTATCAGTAGAAGGAAAAGAAAAAGGTGGAAATTAATATATTACTATTAATAAGAATTATTGTCATTTCATTGTTAATACATAAATAATTTATTTTAAGCAATTTATAACATTTCCTTTGTGTTACAATTATAATTAATAAATATGATGTATGTAAATTTTACATAAACTATCATTAGTTTTAAATTTAATGACTGTATATTATTAGTTTAATTATTGTATCAAATTAATCGTAAAATTAAATTATTGGTCTGAATAATTACTGTAATGTATTTAAATTATTTTATAAAATCTGAATTCTCTGGAATGAACTTTAGCAAATTGTTCAGTTCCTTATTTAAATACAGTATTAAATTTCTGACTAATATCTGTTCGAAATTCAGAGTATCTCTCGAATGTTATCATTTGGGGAAAAATTCCAATGGATATCATTTCAAGGAAAAACCTCAACGGTCATAACTTCTAATTCTCCAATTGTCGTTTGATATTCGGGAAAGCCGGTACATCCGAAATGAGTGCGCAATCACCTCCTTTGTTTCTCACACACAGTCGAACCCATTGTTTCTATCGCGATGATCAGCCCTTTTGTGCTCAGCTTAAAAAGTTGCGGCGTGAATATTTATGTACCATACCTCCACATATGGTGCATGTTGACACCACGTGGCAACACCAAGAAACGGCGAAATTCCACCGATTCTCATCGTCAACGGAGAATCATTATAATCATTACCATCATTATCATCATTAATTGTAGTAGTAAAATAAACGAAATACTCAAGCACTACCCCTTCCGCTTGCTACTTGTTGACAATAGTCTTATTCTAAACAATATCTGATATTTCAAATTATAGAATAATGTAAGAAAAAGTTTATGAAAAAAAAACGAAAATAAGAAATTATTTATTATTATTATTATATTGATTATACTGGCATTATTATTTATAAAATAAAAAGTTTATATTACTATAATATGTAAAATAAAATTCAAAACAAAAAGTTATTTATGAAGTAGGTATTTCATAATAGCGATAATAAGAATTTTCAAATATTATTTATGCATTTATTTATATAAATATTATATTTAGTTAGTAAAATTTTTATTTTAATATAGAGTATGTTCTAATTTAAATATTTTGTAAATAAATAAAAAAATTTACAAATTCACCTTTTATATATCTGCATACAGAATGAAGTATAATTATAACATTTTAAATTTAAATTTGTAAAAGTGTAAATTTCATATAATTGATTAACTAGAAATATTTGATTAATTGTGTAATTTGAGAATGAATGAACAAATTACAAAATCAAGTATTCAAAGAAATAATGTTCAGATTCTACATTAATGAGTTATCTATATTTCAATTTCATTAGAATACGATAACAATAAATGTTAATTCAATCTTCTTATACGATACAAAACATGGTTGTGTGAGTTGTGTAATATTTGAATATTTGATTATTACAAATTGAAATTAATTCAAATTATTTTTTTATGGACTATCTTATCTCGTGTTTAAAGGGAAAAACTTTATTGGTCAAAACGCCCTACTGGTTATTTCAATATGTTATTAGATGCGAAGACTTTACAAAATAGTATTTGATCAGAAAATATGGCATTGTGAAATTAGGATGGATTATATAAAGAAAGATTAACTATGTAAATAAATAAAGTAGAAATAATATTTATTCTTATTAAATTTATATACAAATTTAGATATGTTTTGAAAAATGAAAAATATATACCACAAAACAAATAATTCAATTGTATTGTACTTAAATAATAATTTAAAATTTTAAATAGATTTAAAAAATTCTATGTAATTAGAGTTATACATTATACAATAGTCTTTAACAAATATTTAATAACTATATGAATTCTATAAAATCACTAAAAAAAGAATTTTTTCTTTAAAATGGAAATTTATAAAAAATTTTAATTTAATTTGAGTGTATAAAAAATATATACAAAATTCAGTAGAAAATAAAATTAAAAGCAATGGCATTATTATTTATAAATCAATCTTTATTTGGCTTAGATTGATGAAGATTAGATGTTTATTACAGAGGATTTATGATTCCTAATATAAAAAAATTAATTGTTAAAAATGTGAAGATTACGTTAAAACAAAAGTTTTATTTAACATAAAATTTTGTTTAAAAAACCATGTAAATTTATAATTGACAAATACTGTATTTAAATATAAGAATGCAATAGTGCTTTTAATTTAAAAATTTTCGTTTAATATCTACTTATTTGGATTAACAATTCATATTCTTATTGCTTCTTAACAAAAAAGATAAACTGCGGTTTCAAGTGAATTCTAAATAGAGATCGAGAATGAAAGAACACGGTAAATGAAGTTTGTAAATGCAGGATTAATAGTTGCACGATGCGCTTACGGTTACGGAAACAGATATGAAACAGAATCTCGGAAAAGCCGGTTAATCACTAAACGATGGCTTTGCATCTGCAGTACATATTAACATATTTGTATATCTCGACGCAAATAGTTATCTAAATTTTATTAGTTATGTGAATGAGTTATAGCTCTGCTTTCTAGATCAATATTCTGTAGTTTGATTAAAAAAATAATTACCGCCTTCCTTCTTTGAATAATCACTATCGATATGGATAATTATCCTTTAATTATTGCAAGTCTATATAAATGCTTAAATCATACCAAATTAATATTATATTATAAATAAACATTTCTAACGCACTCGTTCACTGCACATATACACATTGTTCAGAATTCCAGTGACTCGGTGGTCGAAGGACCAAGAATGTTGGATTAGACCATGTCCACCATTTTATTGGTGGAACAGTATGAATAAGTGAGAGGTTCATGCTTCAATTCAGTAATCAATACAATTATTTTTAAGTTTTAATTTACAAATACATAATTATGATTTTATGTTAATGATGAGAATCGTTGAGATTTTGCCGTTTTTTAGTGGTTTTTTCACGTGGAGGTAGCATGCACTGCAAGTCGAGGTTGGAGGTTATAAATCTCCAGGTCCTCTTGTAGTAGTACGCATGGTGGAAATTACTCTACTGAGAAGTGAAACGTCATAAATCCTTGACACTTTTTGTATAATGCCACGTGGGGCGTTTTAAATGCGTACCTCCTCTTGATGTATAAAGTATAAAAATGGTTCAATACCTCAGTGTATTTTGGTAGTGCGCTCTATGGAACTTATCGAAATTTAGCGTGCAGTGGTGTATTCGAGTAGATGTCGCAGAGAATTTTTGACTCCTTAATCTAGAATGCAGTTGTAATAAGTAACGACGTCTTGTAGTGCAGCGTGTTTCCTTCTTAACTCAAGTAAATACTGCGGCGTAAGAGAGAGAGAGAGAGCCTTCATCCAAAATGCAGCGACAGATTGCAGTAACAGTAGTATTAACAGTGTGTTCCCTCTTTGGCAGTCCAGATAACAGTATTCCGTTGAATACGCACACGAAGCGGAAGGTGTATTCACTCTGTAGCGGCTCTGCTAATAGAGAACGCCTGTTCAATGATGATCCTTCTAAGACAGACAGTGTTCCGTGTCGTGGCGTCTTCACTAAGAGAGAGAGAGAGAGAGAGAGAGCGAGGCTAGTTTCGAGCTTGCTTTATATGTCAACGCGATAGTTTAGGTAGGTGGCAACAATGGATAGATGTTTGCTCGAAATTACGTGATGTAATTCTTGGCTCGAACTGTCAATGCTTCAATAGCTTAGTTTGCCGCCCGCCCTAGCAGACGCCCGAGATGGAGATAGGTGGAAAGGCTTGTACAAGAGTCACGAGAGTTGATTATTTATAAATTTATTTTACAATTTATTACACAATTTACATATGGGTGTTGTAGAATCTTCTTGAGTCTAATGTGAAGATACGATTTCTTGAACGGTTTCTTGTATAGAAGGAGTCACTACACAAGATGCTCTTGAAATCGTTTAATTGATGTTGAATTGAAAAAATGTACAGGTAAATAATTACTGCACCCTCCTTGTCAGAGAGTGTGAGATAATGTTAATGGTTGTGTTGTGCTGGTTTTGCCGTCGGCTGGCAATAATTGAGTAGATAACGTGGGTTTGTGTACTCACAGCGATATCGTAGTTTTGATCTGATCCAGGGGTAAGTGGGTCACCAGGACACGCGGCAAAACAAGTGCTAGCAGGATGACTCTTATACTCAAAGGGATACAGTAGTCTTGATCTGATCTAGAGGTGAGTGGGTCACCAGGGCACGCGGCAAAGCAAGTGCGTACAGGATGACTCTTATACTTACAGGGATGCAGTACTTTTGGTCTGGTCAGTGAGTCTTCGCAATATACTTGTCTCTAATTTATTAACACGTACCACAGCGTTGCGTTCTCTTCAGACTTGGCTTCCATTGACGAATAGTCTCTATTGTTTGACTTTCCCTTGAGATAGCCCTTGGCTGCCCACGCGAGCCGGTTGGTTTTTCTAATTCTCTCTGCGGACAGCGATTTCCGCTGTTTTGTTCCCACCTTTAAGGCCTCTTGCCATGAGTCCCCACTCAAGGAGCTTTTGGTCTTAGTTTTCCAATCAGAGCGCGCCGCTTTTCGGCGTTATGCTAATTGTACACGCCTTTTTCCCACTTCCGAGGAAATTAGACATGGACAATGAGAATGTCGGAAAAGCATCGCTGGCGGCAACGCCTAAAGTGGAAGATTTGCCCCTCTCCGGGACTCATCATGGTGGGGATGATTCTTGGTCAAGCGTCTTTGCCTAGCCGATGCAAGCGGCAACATTTGGCGTACTTGACAACAATGCATGATATTCAGGTAAGATTGTAGGCACACGTGCGACGCAGATTGTCGGGTGTCGTACGTGCCGAGTTTCGAGTTGCAATGAATTTCAAGAAATGTTTTTCACTCAATTGTTTTCAAATATTTTAATCCTCAAAATATACTCGTATAAACAGTCTAGTCGGGTTTTGATGTTAAGTCGCAAGGGTCATTTATTGCATTCAAAACAATTACTATGTCTGCAGTGCGAAGAGCAATAAAGTGGCTGTTTACGAGTGTTCCAGATATACAAACTTTTCGAGTCTCTAACAAACTTGGCGAGACTTTCTTAGATTTTATATCTGTTTGACAATTCTTTTTTACAATAACCGTTGAAATTTTCCTAATGAATATAATTCGAGAGATTTTCTTTTCATTCTCGAACAATGTTGCTATGCACAGACTAGACTAACCTGCGGACATTCCAGAATATAGCTATGCGGATATAGACGCTAGACGTTGCTATGCGGAGACCAAATAAACATTGTAGGACGTTCGAAACCAAAGCTTTAGAACATTTTCTATATTTAGAATATGGTCAATTCTTCTCTTTCTTCTTCTGGTCAATAACAAATTTTACAAAAATTCGAGTGGTAGGAGTATAAAATTCCGAGAGCCATGCGTCTTGAAAAGTGCTCCAATCCTGAATAATTTGTAATGAATGAAGTTAATACATTTTTATAGTGTAGTTAATTATAACAAGATAAACTAATAAAGTGTATTTTTATTTAATTTTGGTTTTACTATCCAGATTTTAAAAATATATTGTGTTTAGATTTGTATAATTTGTATTATAACGGAATTTTTTGTTATAAAAAAAAGATTTTTATAGCCACATGTCTTGTTAGAATCATGTATTGTTACGATAGCTTCCGTATATACTTTCTTGCGTGCTTCATTACTGATTATTTAGATAACTTTTAGTATCTAGCGAAAAATAGAAAAGTTAAATAATGAAATACTAAATGAACGAAGAAAAATAAGTACATACGGGGTCATCGCTAATTAATAATGCCTTTAATATAAAAAGGGACGTGTTATTGTAAATATAGTAGCGCTATGAGAATTTTATATAATCGTGTCGACCTTTTAGTTACATATATGTATACCATAATGACACTATACGTATATACATTTATATACTCTCATTCTAAAAAGATCATAAATTAATTAATTCTTCATAATATTCATGTAAGTGTGTTCTTTATCATGTTGTAAACCCATGACTTCTTTTCTTTATATCTATTTTATGTTTTTACTATCTCATTTTTATTCCTTTTTTTCATATGCATGTAATACAAAAATCTTTTTCTTATCTATTTTATTGCATATTTAACTCATTATTCGCGGTGCACCAATTATTCTCAGAGAACTTTTAAATATTGTTTTTTTTAACAGATACCATCACAATGAAACCGACAGGTCTTTAAAATTCATAGTCTATCATCTTCACACAAATTTAAATAGTACTATATTTTTAAATATAAATAAAATAATTTAATAAAAATTAATATATTTTTAGCCAAAGTAATCATTGTGAATAATACTTAGCTATAGAAATTTAAGTGAAATGTTTAAATTTACATTTACGGTTATAATCTATGAATATAATTTATTCAAAATTAGTAAATAAATAAATTTACATCGTCTTTCTGAAGTTTATATAATTACCCTAAACATTTAAAAATAATTAGTAATATATTATTCGTTTTCGTTAGTATTTTATTCATTTTCCTATTTCACATATTATAAATAATTTTAGTTAAAAAAGACTCATTTTACTATATATGAAAATATTTAATTATTATCTGTTACTACTAAGAGAAGATTTGTTAAACAAAAAATTTATTATTTCCATTTTTACTATGCTTAAATTACAACATTTTTTTGACAATTTTTTTTAATGATTTCCTTCTCATCAATATATTATTATTCTATTTTGAATGAATTCTTGATTAGAGGATAAACATAAACATTAAATTTAATTAAATTAATAAACTTATATTAAATAAAAATTATAAATTAAATAAAAAATTATTAAATAATTTAATTATTTAATACACTGTGCGTTTCAAGTTCGTCCAATTATTAAGGTATCTCTACATTGATGTTCTCATCATATGTCCTAGGTTTCGTGAATGTGCATACGCATACCCAATTGATAATATTTTATACAATGCATAGCAAATCATTGAATTTAATTTTATATATAATTTTATCGTGGTGTTCAAAATAATATCACTGCGCAATATATAATAAATCTTACACTCTCCATCTTTCTTGACATCGTACATACGATGAGTGCTGACATACAACGCATAGTGTAATTGTGTAACTTTGTAATTGAATGAATGGTGATAATGAGTTTATAAACTGCTGTTAAATTTTCAAAATATGTTAGTTATTTTTATACAGCATTAATAGTAAAATATATACAAGAAACATCAATATGATGTCGACAGATATTTATTAGAAAATATTTAAGTGTTTATTGCTACATGAGATAATATAGGGGTGTCTCAATTTTCCAGATTGTTCAAAAAACAAAAAATAAACACAAAAACATTGTATATAAGTAGGATGGCGAGACTTGTTAATATATGGCAAAGCTATCTTCCACCTGCATTGGAGAAAAAACAAATGCCGTTAATTATCGATAAAAATCTTGTAGTAAGTGTTGAAATATAAGAATACAAGAACTACATTTATTTTTAAAATGTTTAGAATAGTATTTATTATAATAAGTTAGCATTAGATATTATTTGCATTTTTCATTATATAATATTCGTTTTTGGATAAAATTTGTATTCGTGGCGAACTTAACCTAAAAGCACAATTTAACAATGCGTTTATGAAAAAGAGAAAAAAGTAATAATATATTGACATGAAAAGATATAACATATTTTTACTTTTTGTATAATTTAATGTAATATGATTCATTATATGTACGAAAAAGATTTATGACATCATTTTAACTATTTTTTACTAATTGTTTACTAAACCAAGAGTATATTATTTTTCTTACTGCATTCACTATGTGCTACTATGTAATAATTATACTATATATTATAAAGTTATTTTCACACTTAATATTTTTAATTTAATAGAATTATATTAAATAAAACTCATTACCATTTTTATTTTAATACACTTATGATTTATAAATAAGAAAATATATATTTGCAATAAATTGAATAAAGAACAAAAATTTTCTTTTAGCAAATTTCTATTTATTTTTTCATGTATATATTTATATTTAATTTATATTATACAATTATTTATTTTCTAATTAAAATGTAGATGGTGATGGATATAAGTGGATTGAAAGCTTTAAGAGAAAGTCCATTAGTTCAAGGAAAACAATTGGATGAATTTTCAAGAAAACTTAACTTGCTTAACATAGAAGAAAAAAAGGCTTCGTTTGAAGTAGCTTGTAAAGATATATTAAGTGTTCTTGATCAAACTGTTCCTTGCATTGGTTGTAGAAGAAGGTTTGTTTTAATTAAGTATTTATTCTTTTATAATAATGATAATTATTGTTTAATCAATTAATTATTTTACAAAGTGTGGAAAGGTTATTTTATGATTTAAGTAATCTTAATAGTCATCCAGCATTAGATCCAATAATAATTACTTCAGATGGTATGTTAACAATAGAAGAAGAAGTTCTCCAGTCTTCTCAACGATTGTGTACACTGCTACAAGGACACAGGTAAAATTTTTTTTGGTTTATTGATTATAGTTTTATGTTATTATATATATAATTCAAGGTCAATATAATATAGTTATTTTAATATCAAGTTATGAATCAAATAATGAATACATAATATTTTCATATAAGAATACTGTTATAAAAATTGAAATATGTATGCTTACTATTGTATGTTTATATACACTAAATTAAATATACTTAAAACAAAATATATGAATTTTGATGTAATTGACAATGAATTATTTGTAATTCTAATTTTTCCCAAGTTATTGATATTTATATTAAACCAATCATTAATTTTGTTATATTATTAAAATATGTAAATAAAGTAAAAATATTAAAATATTAATATTCTACAAAGATTAGTAGTAATATTTTATAAAATTTTGTAATATATTTATTTGTATTAAATTTATTTTTTAATTTTATTGATTAAAAATTAATATTTTATGTTAAACTATTATTTTTATTAAATTAATAAATATATAATTTTTTAATGATTCATAATAATATAGAGTACTGCTATATCTGATAAATCAATATATTAGAATATTAGTTTTAATACAAAATTATAGAATATAATTAAATATTCTTGACTTAACATTTCAAACGTATATTAGATGTTTTATAAAAGTTTATTAATGAAAATATTAATGCAGCAATAGTAAATTTGTTTGAATTATAATATAAATTATTATATAAATATGAATTATTTTATAAATATAAATTAAACAAAATTTAGAAGTTTTTTCCTTATAATTTTTAAATTACATTCTGAATGCTATCATATGATCAAATTAAGATTATATATACTTTAGTTAAGAATAAAATCTAATATTTTTAAATATGTTGGAATATATATAATATTTATAATATATTATAATACATATAAAACACATAAATTATATAATTATTTATTATTAGAAAAATTGTAAATATAAGAAAAATTAAAAAATTCAGTTAGATATAAAATATCAAATACATAATTTTATTTTTCAGTACAAGACTGAACGATTTAGTAGAACAACAACCCCGTAATAAAAAATCACGCAGGTGTACTTTGCATTCATTAGAAATACAACGAATGAGACCTCCTCCGAATGCATGGAAAGAGGTCTGGGATTGTATGGAGCATGATTGTTTAAAAGAAATAACATTTATAGACGCTGATACATTAGATGCTACTTTAAATACCTATCTTCATAAACATAAGTTAGTATAAATATATATTAAATATACATAATACACACACACATATATATATATTATTTACTTTTTAAAATAACAAATATAAATTTTATATTTAATATGCATTCTGTACAGATTTTGTTCCGAATGTCGAACTAAAGTGCTTTTAGCTTCATCATTATTAACTACTGAGAGCGATCCAATTAAAGAAAAAGGTTATGTTAGTTCTTTATATGCAGATATAAAGCGTTGCACAGGTGGTCATATTCACCTTCCTCTAAATATTGATTATATTGGTTCAATTATTAGAAGAGCACAACCAGAACTCATGGGAAGGTATTAAGATAATTGACATTATAAAGTATATGTTATTTTCATGAAAATTAAATATTTTTATTTAAATTTATATGTATATTATAATTTTAGAGAACGACATGCCAAAACTCTAGAAATTGCTCAAGAGGAAGTTCTTACGTGTCTTGGTATTTGTGTTGCTGAACGTTTAAATCGAATATTTCGACGTCTTAAAGAGGAAGAAATCATTGTCAAAGTATTAGCTGCAGTAGCTATAGATACACTTTCTAGAAATTTTCAAGTATGCATTCATAAAAATATATTCTCAAAATTTTACATTATTATATAAATGATTTTGTAGATGGCCATTGAATATAAACAAGGAGTAACGCAATTAGAAGTTCTTTATAAGGAGTTAAAAAAAGAAGAAGTTTTTAAACAACAACGGCGTGAAAAATTACGACTTAAAAGAAAAAAAAAGAAAGAACGTCGTTTTGAAATTGAAGAAAAAGAAAATCAATGTCTAGAAAAGGAAAATGAGTGCGAAGTAAGTCATAGTTACTAAACCAACAATAATTTTTAATGTTATAATATATTTTATTATTAGTGTCTAAAGAAAATACTATTATTTTTATAACTTTGACATATCAATAAATTATTTTATTATTAAAATTTAGAATTAATTTTTAAACCATTTAATTAAATATAATTACATTTAAATTAAAATGTTTCATGTCGAGTTTAAATATTTCACTTAAATCAGTATAATCATATTTTTGTCTAATTTGCTTAACATTTATAAGATCAATGTTAACTTTTTTTCGTTTATGTATTGATATTGTTCCTTATCTTCCACCAACCATTAAAATAATCAATTATTTAAGAATTTTTTTACTATTTTTTTTCAATAAAGTATAAAGGACAAGTCTATGATATTTCTAATCATAGAATGAAAATATGAGCATATTTTATACAATACAATAAATATCATTTAAATATATTACTATTTTAATTTTAAAAATATAGTATTAGCATGGAAATAATGTACAATTAGAAAGAGATACAATATATTACTATATTTGGTAAACTGAAGTGTTACTATATTTTTTAATCTTATTTTTTTTTCAAAATCGTTTATAAAATGACTAGAAGAATTAACAATTATGCTTTAACTATTTATGGCACATGTATATTGAATGCAGCATCTATATATTAAATAGTTATGAGTGCATCTTTACTATGTCCTATCAAATAATGTATATGACCTTTTATAATTAAAACATTTTATCTACGATTATAAATTCTCAGTTATCATTTTCAATTATTTGATGTTTCCAATAATTATTAAATAAAGATTTATTCAATAAAATGATATATTTAATTAATTTCTGTTTGTTAACTTACAATTTAATATTCAATTGTGTTTTAATGCTTAATTTTAAGTAATATAATACTATCCACTTCTGTAATCCACTATGTCTGTTTTTATGACTAATTTATAACAAATTTTAGAAGCGAAAACTAGAAAATTCATATTACATTAATTCTAACTAATTTTCACCAATATTTATTTTCATAATTTTAACTAGTAGTCTAATCAATTCGATTAATTTTTAGTTAAAATAAAGAATCCATACTGGTGATTAATATAAGTTATATTAAACTATATCCTTATTATAATTGAGAAATTTATAATATAGCATAGTAACATAAATATAGTAGTATAAGAGTAGCTAATAATTGAGTAATTTATAGATTCGTCATTCAAAAAATCATTTAATATCAACTACTTGATTTATTGTGTGTATTAATACTTGTTTCAGTTACAGGTACTAGATACAAAAAACAAGGTGCCACTGAATTGTAATTGCCCAGATTGTAAAAAGAATACTCATTCTAATGAAAAACACTCTAAATCACAAGTTCTTTCTTTTGTATCAAATAAAAAAGAAGAAAAGAAGAAGAAAAAAATAGAGTCAAAAGTAGTAAATAATAATACAAAAGAAGTCAGTAAACGTGAAAAAATTAATAAAACCATTTGTGTAGATAAGCAACCTGAACCTTATAAGACAAGTCAAAGTAATAATAAACATTTGAATGAATGGCAAAATACAAATGAATGTACAAATTCATCTTCATCTGATCATTTAATAGATGCACTTATGGATACAAATAAAAGATACACAATGTGGATTGAAGTTAAGAAACGCCTAAATACTAAAGTTATAAATAGGAATTGTCGGTCTTCTAGTGAATATTCTTCACAAGATTATGGGTATTCATCAGAACATAATGTTAGTAGTTCATCTTTACCAAGTACACCAGAAGGTTCTGAACTAGCATGTGCTGATGGTTGCTGCAATCTTGAAAGTGAATGCTCAGATGTAAGACCAACAGATAAGCTTATTCATCTGAATCCAAGTCTTTGTATATTAAAGAAACATGGAGGAGGATTAACATTATCGCAAATGTTAGAAGTAAGTTAAAAATTTATAATTTAAATAAATTTTTATTAGTAATATTAATTGTTTGAATTTTACAATTTTATAACCATGCGTTATAAGATGACTTATATTGAGTATGTCTTCCTAAAATGTTTATTCACAGTATAATTTAAAAACTATTAATTAAATCTTCTATTAAATTAAAAATATTTAGTATATTTTGTATATTTCAATCAAATTCACTATATCAATTTCTTTTTGTAATTATATTGTAGAATTCCTGTTTATCTGAAGATGAAGATAATCATAGTTATATTCCTTTAGAAGAAATATTAGAATTTAAATCACGTATGTGCCAGGTTACCGAAAAACGTAAGGAACTTCGTCAAATGTTAAAAAAACGTTTTGCAATGCTTTGTAGTCATAAGTCTTTCACCATTCCACATTGATAATTTCTCTATTACTAATTGTTAAGTGAATTTTTTATATTGATTTTAATACGAACAAACTAAAAATTATGTTCATTTAATTTTTCTTTTGATAAAATTTAAATATTCAAAGTGTACAAATTAAATGACTTTTATAAAAAAAAACTATATTTTATGTTCACATTTAGTACTTAATATATTTAATAGTAAAGTAAATATAACTAATGATTAAAAATTAAATTGTACCTTAATAAAATCAATTAAGAAACAGCTATTTGCAGTCTTTCAGTATTAAATTTTATTTAATAAATTCTAAGTGGACAATAAATGTATATAATTGGTAAGATAATATTTTATTTTAATGTAGTTATAAATTTATATTTGATCAATTTATAATTTTTCATATAAAAAACACAATAGCTGTTATTTGTTTTAGTTTAATTCGTAAAAACGATTTTTTATAATTTTTTATGGTAAAATTTATTAATCATTGTTAATATTAACATGGTTGTTCATATGGTTGTTCATATGATTGAATATAGAAAAAATAAATAAATATTTTATGGAATACAAATGTATGTAATAAATAAAGTAAACTAAGCTGAATTCATTAAAGTGAGGATATTTTTTTTATATAAATCATTGATGCTGTAATAGATAATATACCCATGATAATATTACAAACACGTACAAAGGTATGTGACAAATTTAGTAAATATTACAGTTTATCTTTATGAAAGATTTAATATAAAATAAAAGTATTTCAGTGAAAATTTTATTAACGTATTTTCTATATTTTACATATTTTATTTTTAATTCTCAAATTATTATAGAATTTCAGATACGAATTTCCAACATTTAATAACTAATCAATATATTGTGCCAAACAGAGACATGCGTTTATTCCTCCAAATCCAAAAGCATTTTTTAACGCTATACGTTTAGAATTAATTGACCATTTTTTAGTATTATTAGGAACGAATTTTAAATTAGTTTCCATATCTACATTGTATAAGTTGATAGTTGGAGGTATTATATTTGTTTGTAATGCAAGAATTGTGAAAGCTGCTTCAAGATTTCCAGCTGCTCCAAGTAAATGTCCATGTGCACCTTTGGTACTAGAGACAGTTATATTTTTACTGTGTTCACCAAATAAAGACTCTATAGCACGTAATTCTATAGCATCACCAAGTGGTGTTGAGGTAGCATGAGCATTAACATAATTTATTTTGTTCATATCAATACCAGCATCTTTTAAAGCCCTATCCATGGCAAGTAAAGCACCAGTTCCATCTTTACTTGGTGCGGTTAAATGAATTGCATCGCCAGAAAGTCCATATCCTAAAATTTCAGCATACACATGAGCTTTTCTTTCTAATGCATGATTTAACTCCTCTAATACTAAAATAGCAGATCCTTCACCCATAATAAAACCATCTCTTTCTTTGTCAAATGGTCTAGATGCTTCTTGTGGAAAATTGTTTCTTGAGGTACTTAAAGCTCGTAACCGACAAAATGCTGCAACAGCTAATGGACTAATACATGCTTCAGCTCCACCACAAATCATAACATTAGTTTCCCCACCACGTATAAATCGAAAAGCATCACCTAAATATTTTTAATGTAAATAATTTTGAATTTAATTTATTGCAAATTAATTAAAATAACCATAGATTTACCAATAGCATGTGCTCCTGTAGCACATGCAGTTGATACAGAATGATTAGGGCCTCTAAATCCATATTTAATACTGATTTGACCAGCAGCCATGTTTGGAAGAATTCGAGGAATAAAATATGGGCTAATTTTACTGTATCCTTTTTTTAACTTTTCATATGTTGTACATACATCCATTAGGTCAATCATTCCTATTCCAACTGCAACTCCAGTATCTCGCTTGTCATCCTCATCTTTCGGTTTCCAATTAGCATCAGTTAAAGCTTCTTCAGCAGCAATTAATGCATAGGCTGTAGCAGGACTCATTGTACGTAGTTCAGTTGTTGTAAATATTGTTTTTAAATTTAATTCACCTGGCCCATTTCCTTTGGGAACTAATGCAGCTAAAATATATACGTAAAAATATGAATAAAATGTTAATAATTTAAATTTACTAAAAATAAAAATTTATCAATTATTGTTTTTACCTATAGTAAACTATACTTTATACACTCTACATTTAACAAATTTATTTTATAGTTGAAGGTATGTTAAATTAATTATCAAATAATTAAATTATAATAAAATTTATTCATAATGTATGTAAATTAATATAAAATTACTAAAAAATATATACATTTATTTTACATTGGAATCAATTTGATAAGTTATAGTTATTAGATATAAAATATGTAAACATTTTATTAATTTTACTAAAATTTTGTATGCTATAATAGTTTTCATATAAATTATTTAAATACGATTATATTTATTTAATTATAATAAAAACAGCGGTAAAAATACTAACTAACCAATTCGACAAGGAAGCTTTTCATACTCGGGATTGTCTAACTTGACCACGCCGCATTTGCAATTGATAAGTGCTTGCCAAGTTTTTAATGTACCGACTCCCAGTGGAGATACCATACCAATACCCGTTACAACAACTCTTCTTCGACATGTTCGCGATGAATTAAGATTTACAGAATTTGATTTCATCAAAGTGCATCCCGATTTGAAACAGCTCAAAAAGCTGCGCTTCCACATCGATCTTATGCATACGATCTACACTACTTGTCAAAGTCAAATAATAAATGAAACTCTTCCTGAATTTCATCTTATGCTTATATATTAATAATATACCTAATAAAAAAAATGATATCATTTATTAATTCAAAATACATTTTATATTGTAATTGGAGAAAGTGATGTAATGAGTGAAATAAATAGTACAAGGATAAATAGGCAGGAAAAAGAGAAAAAGAAATATATTAATTATTTAAGGTTATAAAGTTTTTATTAAAATTAAATTTTATCAATAACTTTAAATTTATGTAAGATTTATATAGTAAAAATAATTATATAATTAAAAATAATTAAATATAATTTAGAGAATAAAGAAATCTCAATTTTTTAAACAATAAACATGCTTATTTTGTGTCAATGAAGAGTGCACTACTGATATTGATTACATAAGCATTAAAACATAATTTTGCATTATATTGTATTATAAACATTTATTATGATTTAAAAAGTTTACAGAATTATATATTATTGCATGTTATTGCACGTGTTATAATAATTATATTTTTATTTGTGATGAAGGATTGTTAATAATAATCGATGACATTCATTATGTAATATAAAGCTTAATTCTAAAGTAATCTGTATAATTGATTTATGCAACTGTTTTTATCTAGTTAAAATGTTTTAAAATATTGAATTTTATTTAATTTACATATATAATTAAATATATTCTAGAAAAAATAAAATCAATTTATTATAATAATTATTGAACAAATTTGAGAGACGTAAAATTATATGAACTATATAAAAAAATGCAATGTTTTTTATAATCATATTTATAAATATATATTTAAATAGTTACATTTTCATAATTTAAATATAAGTAAGTACAAAAAAATGCTATTACTAAATTTATTTCACATTAAATTAGACTATTAAAATAGCACTCTTTCTAGTCATGTAACATAAGAAAACAATTTGAAAAATATGCTTCATTATGATATATTCGAAAATCCCGGAGTTGCTACATTATAATTAGATTTGAAAACGGCTGTTGGTATTAGACCATAATTTTTATTCTGTTTATATATTTATAAGCTATTTTTCCTTAGTACCAACCAATTATACTAGTTCATAAAGTCACCAATGCACGGCTTTGGAGAATATTATCCAACTGTATGACCATGAGCCTGCAGTAAAAAGAGAGCGAGTGTAGAAGTTAAAATGGCGGTTCATATGTGCTGTGTCAGCACCTGAATTGTATTTAATCGGTGAGAGAAGGAAGACGACGGGTACGTACAAATAAAAAATGATGATATCAACAACTCAATAGTACGTTTAGACATCAAGTATTTTGGCAAGTTTATAAATTTGTCATTGTATTAAGAAGGTATATGAATGTAGAACATGAATAAGCGCTCAATAAGTGAAAAACGGTTAGAAAAATAGTTACTGAAAATATCGAATAGCGCTATAGACTAACAGAAATTAAGATATTCGTATCATCAGACTTCTTTGGATTTGCTACTGTGAGTTTCATTTTTTGTTACGAATTACAGAAAATTAGTTTTTCTTTTATTGTACACAAGAAAATAAGATTTAATTATATAAAGAGCGAGGTGAAAACTAATGCTAATAACAATCATGAAACTAGGTAACGACTGAGACGAGATCAGTAGGGTGTTTATTTTGTGTGCATTCATATTGATAAAGTTGAGAACACAAGGGTAATAAGGCCTACGGCAACGCGGGTTTACTGTTTGTTATCCAGTTTTCATGTATCAACTTGCAGTTAAACAATTTCTTAAATATGGCAATGAATCCGAGAGATATGGATGGTTTTATGTTACTTCTATCAACTACTGATATAAAGAAGAAACTTCAAATTGGTGTACAACTGCTTAACTATTTAGCTGATCCATTCAAGAGCATTGAGTGTCATGACATTGGCTTATTTATCGACAATATTGTACCATGGCTCAATAGTAGTAATCCCAAGGTGAATTTTATAAGTTTATTATCTCAAATTGAATTTTAATTAAAAATTTTATATTAATATTATATTAATATAGAATAAAAAGAAAAATAACTATCACCAATTAATCTAATACTAGTTATTAACTTAATATATTATTACAAAAATCTTAACAAAAACTCAATAAGTTATATATTTTATCAAATTAACATATATTATATTTCTATGAATATTCTATGCTAATTAGCGGAAGTTATTGTTAAATTTTATATTTAGGTAATAGTATATTATATATATTTTATAAGTTAAACAAATAATATTTCAAAAAGGTAAGAGCAATAAAACAATATTAAAGATTTGTTATGATTATTTAAAGTTTATCTCTGTATAAAAACTATTTAGTACATATTGTGATCAAATAAAAAATGAAAGTTTATAATATTTATGATAATATTGTATATAGTTTATATAATAATTTTGCTGCCTGAATACTCAGTTATTAATAGCATTGATTTCTTATAATTTTTATAAAATTAATTTGGTAAATTATTTATTAATAGAAAATTCATAAATAGTATAAATTATAGTTAAATGGTATATAATAATAGCGTTTATAACTAACTTTTAATTGATAAAGAAAACTGTTTATTTATTTTTCTTATATTAATATTGAAATTATTAATCATTTAAACTCCATATACTTAAAATAACATAACGTAACGAATATGATATTAAAATTTAGAGTTTAAAACAGAAATTATGATGTTTTTTTTATCCTGCATTTCTAATATTCTCTTGTTTGTAAAAATATAATTATTACACTCATTAATAGAGATAATTATCTTTATCTGAAATACAGTTGTTGTTATCTTTTTAACATTTTTTGATTGGAAATACAATATTTACCAGAAACAGAAAAATAATGGAAGAAGAAAGGGAGAATTTATTTTATTTTTTTCAATATATTAACTAAGACATATAATTTGGAAAATTGATTTTAAAAGTATTATTTTATGAAGTATAAGCTTACTTACAGAATAAGATTTGATTTATAAATTTTATAAAGGATTTGTATTTACATAAAAATCTATTTCTATTCTTTATCAAAAAAGTTGAAGATTGAATACTTAATTTTTGAGAAAAATAATAATTTAAGAATAATTTTTATTTGTATAATCACGTTCATATAAACATAATATTAACTTTATTAAACTGTAATTTATGTTGATTTTAGTTTAATTTTATAAAGTTCTTAAAATACATATATATGTAGTTAAATGTTTAACGTTTAATGAATAGTATTGTAAAAGTTACAATGTATGGTCCTATTGAGGATTTATCAACTGATTTTAGTTTGAAAATGAATGTAATTAAAACAGTGTCTTTTATGACGGTACAAGTGATACATTAAGCATCATAAAGTAAAATTTTATCGTACAGAAATTTATAATTGCGTAAATTTATATTTATTTCTATAATTTTCTAATTTGTAAAAGAATATAATCCGTTAGTTGTTCCTTTAACAAACTCCGTCTGGCGTGATTGAGGGATGGAGAATGAGCAAAATTTGAGTTTAACATATAAATATTTGTTCCAAAGTTGTAGTGATGTAATTCTTGGCTCGAACTGCCAATGCTTCAATAGCTTAGTTTGCCGCCCGCTCTAGCAGACGCTCGGGAAGGAGTGAGATGTAGGGGCTGTACAAGAGTCGTGAGAGTTGGTTAATTATATATTTATTATACAATTTATTACACAATTTACATATGGATGTTGTAGAATCTTCTTTAATCTTATATGAAGATACGCTTTCTTGACTGGCTTCTTATATAGAAGGTGTCACTACACAAGATGCCTTGAAATCGTTGAATTAATGAAAATTGCAGAGGTAAATAATTACTGTACACTCCTTGTTGGAGAGTGTGAGATAATCTTGATGGTTGTCTTATGCCAGCTCTGCCGCTGGCTGACAATAATTTAAGAGATAAAATGTATTAACGTACTTACAGCGATGTCGTAGTTTAATATCTGATTCAGCGGTGAGTTGGACACAATTGCACGCAGCAAAGCGACTACGTGCGGCGTGACTCTTATACTCACAAGGATGCACTATTCTTGATCTGATCTTGCGGTGAGAGGGACGCAAGTCATGTGCGGCGTGACTTCTTTACTCACCAGCATGCACTATTCTTGATCTGAATTACTAGCACTTATTTCTGCGTTGAGTGAATGTTAGACTTTGTTTTTTAGACAATTAATTTCTATTACTTGACCTTTCCCTAGACTGCTCACTGGTCTTTTTTGACTTGTCTTTGCGGACAAAAGTACTTGACTGCCCACGCGGACTACGTGTTCCTGGTGTCCCCCGCGGACAGCGACTTTTCGCTGCCTTGTTCCCATCTTTAAGGTCTCTTGCCATGAGTCCCCACTCAAGGAGCTTCTGGTCTTAGTTTTCCAATCAGCGCGCCACTTTTCGGCGGCATGATGAATGTGCACGCCCTTTTCCCACTTCATAAGAAATTAGGCTTGGACAATGAGAATATCGAAGGAGTATCTCTGGCGGCAATGCGTGAAGTGGAAGAGTTTCCCCTCTCCGGGACTCATCGTGGTGTGGGTGATTTTTGGTCAAGCGTCTTCGCTTGGCCTATGCAAGCAAGCAACATTTGACGTACTTGACAACAATGCATGCTTGCTGGTGGCATTGAAGGCACACGTGCGGCACAGATTGCCGAACGTCGCACGTGCCGAGTTTCAGGTTGCAATAGATTTTAGGAAATCTTTTTCACGCGATTATATTAACAGACTGGCCAGGTTTTGATGGTAAGTCGCAAGGGTCTTCATTGTATTCAAAACAATTACTACGTCTTTAGTACAAAAGGCAATAAATGGCTGTTTACGAGTTCACAGATCTACAAACCTTTTCGAGTCTCATGCAACCTTGGCGAGACTTTCTTAGTTTTTTGTATCCGTTCGATAATTCTCTTTTATCAGCTCTTGAAAATTTTTCTAGTAAATATAATTCGAGAGATTTTCTTTTCACTCTCGAACAATATTCAACATATAAAATTAATACGTATCGAGTGTACATCAGTGCTTTTTGTTACGGTTTATAAAAATGTTAATTTTTATTTTCAAATGCATAAGGGCCACAGTTCTCTGTCATTATTAAAATTAAATGATTATGGTAAACATTATTTATTCGTTAAACTATCATATTTTGTTAAACATTACTAACGAATTAGATATTTTAACTAATCATTTATTTTAACAGATGCACAATCATAATAACGATTTATAATTTCGACTATATAATCGAACATATATTTTATTTATAATAAACGTATACTTGAATTTATAATATTTATTATACTTTGGTTCCTTATTTTTAATATATGAGAAAAAAGATATTTATTACTAGTGACCATCTACTTTATTAATAGTTACGTAGACGACTAAAATTATATGAAATGGATTATATTTCAATTAAGAAAATTAATAAAACACTGGTTCAAAATATTAATAATCGTTCTTGTATCAATAATAATAGATATATAATAGTAAATTACATTAATGTAATTATTAACATACGTAAGTATTCAATTTTGACGATTTGCAAATAGTAGTACAAAGTATACTTTGTACTATAATATTATAATAATATTATAATTATCTCTAATATTCGAAATTGCTTTAGTAGAAAATATTAGCAATAAAAAATTATTTATTTAGTATTGATTAGTGAATCTTTACAATTAAAAATATTATTAATTAATTTTCATTCGATTTTATTGCTTCTAATGTTACTCAGTTTTAATTCTTTTTTTTTATTATTTATAATGAATATTTATAAATAAGAATATTGCTTTGTTCTTATTTATTAACCATTAAAAGAATAATATTCAAAATGTATATTAATGCAACATTTACAAACTTATAAATTATCTTTAGAGAAAGATAAAATATTTGAAAATTTAAAAAAGACACGTTTTGTTATTGCATAAAATGTTATTGTAAATTTTTGGAATCAATGATATGGAATATACATTTTATCTTGAAAATCAATGCAGAATATTTTAATTTTTAAAATCGGTGAAAAATCTATAAATATACAAGTTTAAACTCTTTCGTATGTGATAATAGTTGATATAGCTATTTAATTTGTGATATATACAGAGTTTTCGTTGATACAATCTATTAATAATAAAAACTCTCTAAAACCTATTTATTATTAGTTTAAAATTATTATAAGTTTAAAAATTACTAAAATATATAGCTTATCTATGAATATTTTATTTTAATATAAAGCGTTAATATAATGATTGACATTTTGTAATTATAATTAAAATTTTTATATGAAGATTATAATTGATGATCATTAATTGAAATTTTGTTTTCAATGATGAACAGTGTTTCTAAATCACTAGGAAGGACGAGCACTTTGCCTTATTAATTTAAATTGAGTTTGTTAGATGTTGCATAGCAATTATGTGCTAATATGTAAGTGTAGATTTGCGATCATTTTAATTTATCGCAGAGAATTTATTTATTATTTAGTTTTATTTAATAGATTTCTAATTTAATGTAATATTAATATCATTTTGACAACATTTAAAATACGAATGCAAGGAAGTGTAATAACAGTGGAATGAGAAACATTTTATTTCATCTAAGTTGATTTATTAGTATTCGGATTTGATTACAGGTTATTCAAAATGGTCTAGATGCACTTACATATTTAGCCGACCGAATGGGCCACGATTTTAAACCTTATATTTCTACAATTGTTCAACCAACGGTAGACAGGTTAGGTAAGTAATATTTTTTTGTTATTAGACCCCAGCAAATTTGGTGATGTAAATATAAGTTTAAGACTATAGTCTTTTTAAAAATGTCTTATGCATTTTTACTTATTAATATTTTTGTCATGATAAGCAGTAAATATGAAAAAAAAATTGATTTCCCTTCATGATCATTTAATTATTAGTAAATTTTTTTTTAGTTGTTAAATGTACTAATATTGTCACCATAAATATTTTACAATATTTATTTAATGTTTTGTTTTTAATTACAAGTCGTCTTAATAGAGAACAATTATTTACAATGATATAGTTAAAATTTACTAAAATAAACAAATTTGCTTGCAATTATTATCTAAAATTAAAAAATTAAGTAATTTTAAACTCAATATTGTAATTTAATATCATTGTTGTTTCCCATTATAAGTAGATGATAAAACTAATTTAAACATAATATTTTTATGAAATATGGAATATAATATATTCAAAAACTATCTTGATAGTATTCATGTGTTTATTAAATTAATAAGAAATTTGACTCAATGGAATATGAACTTTAAAAATACAAAAAAATGGAAAAATATTAAAAATTATTATTTCACTATAAAATTTCACTTTTTAATAAAATTTAATAAACAAGTTTAAAAATTACATTATGATACAAGATATTTTCAAATAATTTTCTTTAAATTTTTTCGGCAAATTTTTTATGCAAGTATAAATAAAGAAAAAAACAATTTTCAATATTCAAAATTTTATATTATGATCTTGTAGACTTAATATAATATTTTAATAATTTGTATTTGTTCATATTTAATCAATTTTATTGCCTATTTTAAAAAATAGTATACGATAAAATGTTGTAGTTTTAAGATTAATTCATAAAAGTTAAAATTTACTTGTGATAACAAGATAGAGCATTTAATAAAATTTATGATATACCCCGTAGATATTTTTGCTTGAATTAAACAAATTTAATTATCAAAGAAATGAAATATGTGGTCCTACTTTATATTACTCTAAATAAATAAATATTAAATATGTATTTCTTAAATTATAGATGCCATGTATTATAAAGATTATAATTTATTATTGTAATAAAAAAATATTTTTTATAACTAGGAAAATAATTTAAACATGTTAAAATACATACCTTTTATTTGTTTGAAAATATTTAATTTAATTTAATTATAAATCTAATATTTAATGTAGGTGACAATAAAGATTCAACAAGAGAAAAAGCACAGCTAATGATTTTGAAAATTTTGGAAAGGGGTAGTATGTCACCTCAAAATTTATTGGACAAACTTCAACCAGCTTTCACTCATAAAAATGCAAAATTACGAGAAGAAGCGCTTATACTTCTCACAACGACATTAAATGAGTGAGTAAATAATTTGTGATTATGTTTTAATGTAGCGCTAGAATAAAAATTATTAAATAATTGTTATAACAGCTTATGAAATTTTCAAATACATAGTCCTATAAACGTATTTATTTTAATATAGTTTAAAAAATTTTAAATTCGCTGTAATTGAATTCATATAAAATAATATGATTTAATTTGTTCTATTCTTAAAATATATGCAATTTTTTCATTTATGTTATGACGCTCATTATCGTAAAGACGAATTTATTGATTATTTTGAAATTTATTATGAAATTACTTCTAATAAAATAAAAGAATTATTTTTTGTATTTATAAACATTTTTTTTACTTAATTTATGTATTATTTTAATTATCTTTTATTTTATATTTAATTCCATTTGGTATTATAACTTATTGTTATTACTTGAATATTTTGTTATTTATTTTTTATTTTGTGTACACATGTATTTATATTTTATTTTTAGTTTCCACTATTTTTTTATAATTCAACTATTCTTGAGTGTTGTTTTATTCTTTATCTTATAATATTACTATCAAATTTTAATATTCTAATTATTAGTAAATTAAATATTTTTATTGTTTAGTAAACATTGGTTATTTATAGATACAGTGATTTTTATTTTTGCTGAAGGATGATCGTTAATTCATTTTTGGAATATTTTATTTTTAATATTTTAAATAAAAATGTATAACTAGAACAAGAGAAAATTATTATATAAATTAAATATTTAGCTAAAGAATAAATTATGATAATATATAAAAAAAATTTTAATTATTCTTTTTTTTTGTATATTTTGTATGAAAATTTTGATATTAAATGTTTATAATTTTTTAAAACTAATTTTCAGTAAAAACTTTAAATTTCTTTTGTACTTTACCATTGAATACTTTAGATTTATAGATAATTATGTTTAAAAAAATGTTGAAACCCTTTTTCAAAAAACTTTACTAAATATTCTATTGGTTAAATTAGACATGGTGCAGATGAAATGGCACTTTCTGGTGTGACTCCTAATATAGTGAAGTTGTTATCAGATCCAACAGAAAAAGTAAGAGAAACTGCAATGAATACTTTGACAGATATCTACAGGCATGTGGGTGACAGGTTGCGAATTGACTTGCAAAGGAAGCATAACGTACCACAGGCCAAGTGAGTATCAGATTTTTAATTTGAGAGAGATTATGTTAAAATAATAGAAAATTTATTTATACTTATGTCTTAAAAATATTGATCAAGTTTTTGTTCTTCATTCTAATTAAAACAAGCTAAAGTATCATTTCTGTAGTACATTTATTATGTTTATATTATATATATTGTATATTATGTGTATATAGATATTTACATCAAATTAAATTTATAAATTAAATGTTATTAAATACTATATTATCTAAAAAGTAAATAAAAATATAAATTGTTTAAAAGTAGTTGTGAAAATTAAATTTAAAATATTAATATATTTATCTGTGTAATATTAAAATAAATACATCTAGTATTTTCTATATTTTTTAATGATAATTTTGTAATTTAGAGTTAATCAAATTTTTTTAAGGTTAAATACGGATTAACAGATACTTGACATTTAATTTCGTATGAATAAAACATTAAAAATAATTTCAAAAATAATTTTATATCTATTGTACTATTTATTTTATAGATGCAATTTTATATAAGACTAATAAATAGATTGGTTTAGTAGATATCTAAAAAAATATTGCTTTATTATTAATTAATTGTATAAATACTATTATTTAATATTTTTTACAGATTAACTCAACTGATAGAAAAGTTTGATCAGTTGAAAGCTGCTGGTGATATGTTACCACAGGCAAGATCTGTTGAAGGTGAGATTATATTCTTTTATTTTATTATTACTTTTAGGTGGTCATACATTGCTTTATTAATACTATATTCTTGAGCTATGTCTACTCTCATTTAACGAAAAGCTGTCATATTAAAACCATACCCATCTTCTATATAATTGGGAACAATTAAACCAGTGATTTAACTGTATTTTTGTTTACTTTATTGTGTATATTACTTCTTACGTAAGATAATTTAACTTGATGTTTATTTGAATACTGTACAATTTAAACTATGCTTTGTTTTGATATTTTATTTAGAAACAATATATTATAACAAATTAAGTATTTATAATTTGTTATAATAAATTCAAATCTACATTTTATTTATTAAAGTATGTTATAAAACATTCATTTTTCTATAATTATATACACTTTACTTAAATTAATTTAAATAGTTAAAAAATTTTTTTATTAATTGCAACTTTTAAAAAAAATTAAAATTTATATAATTTATTTAATTTTAATATTTTATGATAAAAACTATTATACTAAATTTACTATTGACGTTTTATAATGATTTGGATAATATAATATTTGATAGAGAATATTTATTTAAAAAGTAGATAACCGCAATGCATATTTATGAATCACATTGAGAATATGTATTACAATTCTTGACGGTAAATATTTTATATAACAATTAAAATGTTTAATTAAAATACTGTAATGTTTGTGCATAAAATAAGAGAAATTAAAACTTTAAGGAATCATAAACAATGATCTGAGTAGTTATTTAAATTTTCATTTACATTGAGAAATTTATATTTACAAAGTTTTGACAAAATATATAAACATATTATCTTAAAATAAAAAGAACCGAAATCTTAAATTAATGTACATGTATTTAATGAATCATGGAAGAATTAATATTAATAACTTCTCATATAAAACATAAATAACTTCAGGTTTTGTGCATACTCAGTAGATGATAATATTAACTTTTTCATTTTATTATTGATTCTGTAATTACAACATATTTGAAAAAATTAATAAAATAATGAAAGTATTCGTAATATTAAATCAATCTAATTATAATACAAATAAACCTTATAGTTAACTTAGCGCATGAATGTTACAAGATAATTTATCTTTTCAATTTTTTATATATTTATAAAATAAATTTTTATTGCGTTCAATATATTTGATAAATTAATATGAATTAATATTTATAATAATTTTTTAGTTAAGAGAAATTTATTATATCCTATTAAACAGTATTTATTTTTTCTTTAATGAGCCATAATTTTTAATAGTCATAAATTATATATTTATTATACAAATTTCGTACTAAATTTTTAAATACATAATTATTTCCAATTTTTTATATTAACTACATTATCAGTGTCATAAAATAATGAAAAAAATTTTTAATTTTCAATGTAATCAAAATTATTTCATACATATTAAAAAGAAAAATTAATATTTTTTATAAAATATTAGTTCAGTTTAACAAATTAAATTCTTTTTCAATTTTATCGTTAAATCATAAAACTAATGTTTATATATGTTAAAATACAAACAATTGCATAATTTAAATTATACGAAATTAGAAATACTATCATTAAGTCTCAATAAAAACATTAATAGACAATGAAAACTTAAATATTACAACACTTCAAAATGAAACATTTCAAAATGAAAAACTCTAATATTTTTTTTATTTATGTAAATTTTTGTTTAATATTTTATATGGCAATAAAATATTTAAAAAATATGATAGAGATTAAATATTAATACTGAATATTTTATAATAGTAAATTGAAGGTTAATTTTTATTTCAGAAATTGTATCTTAAATTTACTTAAGTTTATAAGGATAAACAATCAATTGAAATGAAATACAGTTTATAAATGTTATAAATATTTAATTATATTTTTATACTATGAAAATTATCGAATAAATTATTATTATTATTTTACTTATTTTCTTATATTTAAAATTATATAAATATATAGGGATAATTTATTTAAAAAAAATTTTTTTTTATAATTTATTATTCTCATTAAAATTTATACTTAATATAAAGAAATTGAATAATATTAAATTAATTGATTATCTAATTTTATAATAAATATACGTAATAGATTGTATTCAGCATATCTAATTTAATAAAACGTATGTATACATCGATATAAAAAAAAAGTGGGCAATTTTTTCCAAGGGCTTAACTAATTAATATTTAAATAATTAAACGTTAATCCTTATAAAATATATAAAACATAATGTACAAATTGTAACAATGATAATAAATTATTGTATTTGTTGAATATATCAATGATTTAGGCATACATTGTTTGAAGTATTGTTGTATTTAAAAAATTTAAATATATTTATTTTAAAAGTATTTAGAATGTTATATATAGTAGTATTAAAATAGTTTTCTGTATCAATAATCTAAATTTATGTTATTTAAGATTGGTAATTAATAGATAAGAGATAGTCACTTTCTTGATATAATGTACATATATTATATACTATATACTATTTAATAATAATAAAACTATATTATAAAAGAAGTAAGCTTTAAGTAATTTTTAAAGATACAATAACAAAATGAGGAATGAAGCATTGTATAAATTTTGTTATCATTACTAATAAAAATTTAATTCAACGAAAGTAATTATTACTTGTATTCCCTTGCTCACTTAAGCATAAAAAAATTACTTAATAATAAATCTAATTTTTTAGGCTTAAAAGCATCATTATTTAATAGTATGTAAATAAATTTTCATAAATATAAAAGTTTTTCAACTAACTATACAATTTGCAATGATGAATAAAGAAAACATTTCATAAGCAGCCGCGTTGTTATGCAAAATTATAAATGACGAACGCACATTCCGCAATTTAAATATATAGTATAATCGACAGAGGATTAACATTATTATTTCAGTGCATATATATGTCAATATTTAAATGGGTATGTGTAAACTGGGCACATTTCTTAATAATGTAATTATCGCTTTTTAATTTTCATACGTGCCATTTATAAGTTAGGCTTTGAAAATACAATTGTGAGGTAGTTAACAATAGATACGAGTAAAAAGTAACTAAAACAATATATATTTAAGCATAAATATATATACCTTGAATAATATAAATCTATTTTATTAAATTTTATTAAATATTTTGTTGTTACATATTATTATAGCAAACGTAAATATTGCATTAATTTTTATCAATTGATTTGAATTATAATTTATAAGAATTTGTCAAATTCAATTTAAAAAATATGGAACCACTGTGATACCAAAAAATTAAAAGAGAATAAAACGTTATAAAAAAATTTCTGTTCTAGTTGGAAAAGATCTTGACGAACCCGACAGAGTGGTAAGTAAATCTAGTTTATACAAAACAAAATTTTTCATTATTTATAAATTCCATATTCACGTATATTTAGATAAGATCGGCATTGGTAAAACGAACACCAAGTTTGCTGCAAAAAAAAAGTCAGTTTGGTCCGGCTAAAATATCGTCTGTATCACAAGGTATAACTCTTACTTCACATTCATATTCAAAACTATTAATAAAAAAAAAATTAATTAACTTGTTTATTATATATTGTGAGACGTTCTACTTGAATTATTTGATATTAAATTACAAATTTTTGTGTGTAGTTACTAAAATATTTGATTTTATTTAATTGTAATTTATATATAATTAAAATTATATTATGATTTTAAAATGTAGAATTAAAATTAATTTATATAGCCCGAAAAAATATTGTACATCTTCATCGGTACAATTAATAGATAAATATTTTGCTAATAAGACACATTTGTTATTTTGTTATTAAATATTTTTAGATTTTTAATTTTAATTATTGTAATCGAGAATAAGTGCTTGTATAGATGAACATAAACTCATAACGCAAGCACATACTTTATATTTGATTCTACTGAATGCTTGAATTGTAGTATAAATATCATTAAATTTTTAAACATATGTTATAAGAATACTGAAATAAATTAATAAATTACTAAACATCTTGTATGCAAAAATATAAGAGGCTCATCTGTTACAATTATGTATGAGTGATGGCAGTAAAATTTAATAAAACTATTTCTGTACAAATAAAAAAAGTAAACTTATTAATAATTATTATTAGTATAATACAAATGATTGAATAAAAACTATTAATAGTAAATTATAAGTGCTATTGTTTAAAGAAAAAATGTGATAATTACAAGATTTATTTTTTATATGGTATATATATGTTAAAAAAAACTCATAGTTAGCTTAATAAATTATTATAAAGCAAGAAAAGTTGGAAATATTTTTTTTAACATATAACAGATAGAAACTAATAATTTTTTATGCAGTAACGATAAATATTTACATATAGTATTCTTACTAATTTATTGCTAAATAAATTGTTCGGTATAAATTACCACAAGTCGTTGAAGATTCGTTGAAAGTAGGCTAATGACAATAATGTTACTTCCTACGCGGGTATGTTAATGAATATTATTTTTCTTGTTAAATATTCGCTTTAGTGCAGGTGAATTTGCTAATCCAAGATCAATTGAATAAATCGAATCAGTATCTTAAATCTATATTTCAGGTACTTAAATAATAATTTACAGTTACATATAATACAGTACGATTTTTTCAGAGTTTCAGACTTTTAAATGATGGTATCTAATTTTTATCTTTTATTTACTTTATATACGATTGTTTGTTTTTAATTTTATGTGCTTGATAGTTAAGTACATATTACGAAATTCGAAGGCAAAATGATGTAATTCCTGGTAATCAAGTTTGTATTTGAATAATTGAATAATCTTTGATTATTTATTAATTATTAAATTATATTAAATTATCAAATTAAACTATAAAATATTTATTATATGTGAAAGGTAATATAATCATTTTTATACATATTTATTGATAAATATGTAATATTAATATAATATATTAATATATTAATATTATTGCATCGATTAATATTCGTAAATTAAAACTTTTAATTAATTAAAATAAACGATATTTTTCTAAAATTTATACAACGATTAATGTAAATTATAATAAGCTTTATATTTTACTTAAAATATGTAAGAAGTATTTATTAGTTATAATAAAGAAGGAGTTAAGTATACTACAAGTATTATAAAAAAAATTAATTAAAGTTCCCGTATTATATAGTACAGCATTAATTTTTTATTTTATTTAGTTATTTCATATATGAATTTTCGGTTGATTAGTCTTATTAGGAATAGATTGTTATGTGCAGAATTTTAAATAAAAAAAGTAAATCTATTGCTTCATATGTCCACAAAGAATGAAAAATAAAATTTGTTACATATTAATTAGGTCAGGCTGGTGCTGTTGATGAGGAAGTTTTTTTAATGGCATTCGAGGACGTACCTTCAGTTAAACTGTTCTCTAACAAAGATCTTGAGGAACAAATGAAAGTGATAAAGGAGACTATTGGTGATGATAAAAAGGATTGGAAGCAAAGAACAGATAGTGTATGTATTAAGCATTCGTTTTATTTCATAATTTAAAAACTATAAAAAGGATTTGGATCATAAATAAAATATTGCACATTTAAAGGAAGTCGTTTCTTTTTTTCTTTCAAGTAAACTCGATGCTTTTTAATAAAATAACTACTGTTACAGGCTGTTGTGTATATTTTCAATACAGAAACTACAATCACAATTAAAATTTGTAAGAATAGATAAAGCAAATACACATTCTGTACATTTGATTATTGAAAATTATTAAGTTATTTATATCCACAGAATTTAATTTTTAACATGAAAACTAAATAGCAATATATAATTGGAAAATAAAAACGAAAAATATTACTCTTTTCACAAATATATCAGATCTACATTTTTATGAATAAATATAGATAATTATTTATAAATTATATTATTATAAAATAAAAAATCCTTTTATAATACTAATAACGTAAAAAATTAAATAATAATAAAAATGAAAAAAGAATACACATTGCAGTATTAATTTGTTTATCTACCGAAATATAATTAGAAAAATTATTTTATGTAATGATAGGAGAGAACATGTATTTATTTCAAAATAGTCAGTTCACTGACTATAATATTCACTACTCTACTTAAGAAAAAATTATAATTTGATATTTATTATAACAAAATAAAATATTAGTAATTTTATATCTCTAACATACGATTAAAAATTGGAATGTTATATTTACTTAACAAAATAACATTATTTTACGTTTATCTTGATGTTTAAAATTGTATCTTATAAATTTTTAATTATATTAATAATTATTCACATTTATTAAATAAGAATTAAAATGTTCGTATCTGAAAGTTGCATAAGTTTTTTATTAATTACGAAATTGTTAATATATTTGCTTTCTTTAGTAATATTTATATTAACTTATATTTTATAGATGAAAAAATTGAGAGGAATAATTGTAATTGGTGGAATGAATTATGACGTATTTTTTACATGCTTGAAAGATCTTCAAAGGCCATTCGAATCTGCTTGTATGGATTTGAGATCACAGGTAGTCCGCGAAGTTTGCATAACACTTGCTTATTTGAGTCAACAACTTAAGAATAAATTTGCCAGTTTCGGTGAGACTGTGTTGCCGACGTTAATGAACCTCATACAAAACAGTGCCAAGGTACGTTAATAGTTATTAAATAACTTACTACCTAGAACGATTTTTAATTTAAAACAATGCAGGCTTTTGGTATTAAGTAATAAGTTTTGTAATCTTTGAGAATTTTCTTGTTTATTAATGTATGTTAAAAAAATAACATAAATTCAAATTTGTTCCTATAGTTATAATATATTCAAAATTAAAATAAATATAAAAACTACTTCTTAATTACTTCTTTTTATCTTTAAGTATAACTGAGTTTTTAATTAGTTGTGCTGGCTAAGTTTTAATAATGTAACTAATAAAAATCTAAATTGATATTATAATATTTTTAATTTAAAACTGGAAATCAATTGTAATTTTCTAGTTTTATAAATTAAAAAGTAAACAAAAAGAAGTGAATTATAATTTGAAAGTTTAATTTAAGTTATTCTGGACATTCATAAAAGAAACTTTAAATTATATATAGAATTTTTGCAAACCTCTTTTCCTTTTTTAATATAAAATATGTAATATCTGTAGTGATAGGGTCAAGCTATATAATTATTCTTTATTATTGGTATAATTTGTAATAAAGATTAATTAATTAACAGAATGTATTTTTATTTTTATATTTATAATTAACAGAATATGTATTGACCTATCTATATTTACCAATATTTTTTTTTATTATAATTTAGTTTATTTTTTGGTTGAATTCAATAAATTTGCATTTATAAAATTAATTTAAATACTGTAAAGTTTGGTTATTCTATGCTAGGAGTAACTGTAAGACCTTTGTAAAAAAAACTAATTCTAAGATCAGTTAATACAGTATTAAGTTTAGCAGTAGATTATTAACTAAATTAAATATAACATACTATATGTAAATAGTATAATATTATAAAAATTTATATTTAATGTATACATTTAGATATATTTATTAATTCAATAATTTTCTAAATTAAAAATATTTCTATTGTATATTATAAATTGAGATTATTTACCAACGAGTACTTAATTACATTACAGTTTTATTTTTATGTATATTATTTAGTGTATTCTCAATTACGTTTATAAGTTTATGCTATTGTTTAAACCAGTTATTCATAATTTTTATCAGTATTATTTAAATTTTAAAAGTCATTTTATAATGATTAATTTAGTTTGTGTAGTACAAATAAGTATGTTTATCATATAAAAATTATAAATTTTTAAATTTTATGAATATCAAATTTATATACAAGTAAAATACATATTTAAGTAATTAAATCTCAATTTTGTCAAGTTCTTCTATGGTGTATAAGATTCTATGCTGATTAAGACAAATCTTTTATAATAGTTACAGTGAAAAGTTATTATGAAAAGATTTTTTCTGTAAGTGTGTACTAAAAAGAAGAGTATAGTGAAAAACTTATATCAGTATCTAGAAGATTAAGTTACCTAAGAAATTTCTTTTGATAATAAAGAAACAGACAAGTTAAAAAAAATCTTCAGTTCATATTTAATTTTATATATTTACACAATTTTTAATATACATATATATAATAGTACTATATATAATTTTTTAAAACAAACTTTCAAAATATTAATGATTCATAATATTTTATTATGTTCAAAGTAACTGTGAGACTCTCATAAAATATGTAATTCTAAGGTTATTTAATATCATAGCATTATGTTTGATTAGAAAGATTAAAATAAAAAATTTTAATGAAACAGCATTATCTAGATTTATAGAGTATTTAGCCAGATTTTTACTAATAAGTTTTGGATTTTCTATTTTATTTAACCTTATGAAGGTCATGGCGACGGCAGGTGCAGTAGCCGTTCGTTTTATATTGCAAAATACACATAGCAGTCGCTACGTGCCAATGATTGTGGCATCGCTAAACAACAAGAGCAAAGATATACGCCGTGCAACATGTGAATATCTTCATTTAATTTTGCAATCTTGGCAAACAACCATATTGCAGAAGCATGTCATTATACTTCAGGACGGAATTAAAAAGGGCGTAGCCGATTCCGATTCTGAAGCCAGAATGTTTGCAAGAAAGTAAACGCTTTTTCTATACTGATACTACTTTTACATATTTAAAATATTTACTACGTCTATTAATTGTAATAATACCATCTATACAGGGAATTTATTGTTGATTCCTTTTATGTAAGATGCATATTAAATGTCATAAAATATTTCATCGATTAATTTATTTAAATTAATTTCCAAAAGTTAAATATTTAATAAAAAAATGAGGCAAACTTTATAAATTAAAAATTTTTCGTCTTTTAAATTCATCAACATGAATTTTCTATTATTTTTATTAATTTATATATTTATCTGAAACTGAATTATACAACAATTAAGATTTTAACTGTTTGTTAGTATAATAAATAATATGATTATGGTACAATGGTATTCAAGTAAAAATTTACGTTTATTATTTTAATAATCTTTGAATTAAAATGAATTTATAATAGATTATACAGTAAAAGAATATTTAAAATAATGAAAAATTATTTTTAGATCTTATTGTGCATTCAAAGAACATTTTCCTGAACATGCTGAAATACTTCTTAACAGTCTTGATACAACGTACAAAAGAGCTTTGATGTCTTTAAGCAATAGCGGTAGTATAAACAGCTTGAATGCAGTACAGAAAATTACTAGTATTAGTCCACGAGCATCTAGACCAGCTATGAGTGCTACAGGTTAGTTTGAATACTGAAAACTATCAAATAGGAACGTTGATGAATTTCATTTAGATGTACCTTAATTACTAGCATTATTGTAATCCAAACTGGAATATTGTTATGTAAATAAATAATTAACATTAATTAAATTATTTTATGTAAGGTCGAGTTTCTCCTGGAGTAAGATCATCCAGTGCCATAGATATTCAAGCTGTTCAGCGAGCTAAAGCCAGAATGAAGTATGCTTACATGAATCGACAAAAAGTTACACTACGTAAGTAATATTATAATTTTATTTAATATAAATAAACTTATTGAAGAGATATAATTGAGATCAAATATATTTTTACGATACAAGATGACCACAGTTATCAGTTAAAAAGACAAGGTAGTGCAGTATTGTTTGGCATTGAAATATAATTTAAAATTATTATTCAATTTTTTTATATCTTTTATTTTGTAGCTCGATTAAATAAATCGCCAGAGTCAAGTTGTATAGTCAGTCCTGAAAGAATTGCACGAACTAGGACTCGAGTTTCTGGAGTTTCCCAATCACAACGTAAGTTTTTTATTTATAAAATAATGTTAAAGATATCTATGAAAATATTCTAAACAATTTTATTTTACCTTTCATTAAATATCAACAAAAACTACTTATAAATTAATTATAAATGAATTGTAATACTATGTTAAGACTAAATTTTTTCTTAAAAGTTGCTTTTTATAAGAATTTAATTTTTTTATTAATAAATAATTTATGATCAATAACATTAAAAAATTACTAAATCATTTATTTTCACAAGATTTACTCATATTTAAAAATGTATTTATCAATAGAACGTAACAAAAATAATTATATAAAAATTAATATATACATAAAGCAAATTACTTTAATTGTTTATTTCAATTTCAAAAGTGAAACCATTAAGTTAATAAATATTAACGAATAGATACATTTGCTTTTATATATATAGCTAGTAGTAGATCAGGTTCGCCATCATCAAGATTAAGCTATGCAACATATAATAGAGATGGAGAATCTCTTATTTCAAGAGCTAAAATACTGCCAGATTATGGAATGAAAAGCACAGGAAATAGTCGCGAGCCTAGTCCACAACGATTTGGTTTTGATAGAAGCAATTTTGGAAATAAAATTAGGTAAATAAATTGTTTTATCTTTATCATCATAATATATAAAATAGAAAAGAGTTTATATAACTTTTAATAAATAGAAATAGAAATTTGCATATGTCACCAACGGATAGACCTCCGTCTCGACCAGTCATGGCGCAGAAAATGCTTCAACAGTCACGTGAAGCGGAATCTGCATTAGCCGATGCTCTTACCTTCGACAGTATCGAAAATTACACTAGGACCTCAAAAAGCAAAGGGGATCACAGTGATGATAGTGAAACTAGTAGCATTTGTTCAGAACGTAGCCATGATAGTTTTCGTAGGCCTAGTGATGTGAGTATTTTCTAAAGTTCAATTTTCATTAAATGTACAATTTAAATCATTTGAAAAAACAATTTGATATACATGTAAAATAATTCTTAAGATCTTAAATTTATATAATGAAAATGTTATTTATTTTAATCACTATTTATATATTAATTTACTTATATATATCATGACCTTACTTGTTTAATTTAAATAAATTGTTTTTTAAGATAATTCATTGTATTCTTATATGTCTAAATTTAAAAATAAAATTTATCTTGTATTCAAAATATTATGTTTTTCCTATAAAATGATTTATTAAGAAACGTTTGGCTCCATTCTATTTCCTGTAATTTATTTAATTTGAATTAAATGAACATATTTATTTTTATAAAATATGATCATGATTGTGGTAACCTGTTAGTCATTCTCGTGGAATGGCTCACAACAAAGATTGTATCGTGACTATTGGGATCAGTCAATGCCAAAGGTTTGTTTAATTTTTGAATTATTATTCATATTATTATTATTATTATTATTATTGTTCTTGTTATTATTGTTATTATTATATTATTCATAGTTTTGATCCATTTATTTTTTTAAATTTTATTTCTATATATCCACGAAGTCTGTTTAATGTTATTTTTGATGATTTAAATACCGAATTACATAAATATGTTATTTTATTATATTTTATAGGTATTTTATGTGTTTGTATGTATAGATGTTATTAATATAATTTAAGAACTTAAAAGAAATTTCATTAATATATGTGCCTACAAGCAAATTTTATTTTATTTGTGAAGGACATTAAAGAAATAATAGAAAATTGTGGTCATAAACATTGGGCCGATCGTAAAGAAGGATTACTTGGCTTGCAGCATTTTCTCGCTAATGGATATACATTGAATGCAACAGAGTTACGTAAAATTACAGATATATTTGGAAAAATGTTTATGGATTCTCATACTAAAGTTTTCAGTTTATTTCTCGATACTTTAAATGAATTAATACAAACTCATTGCGAAGATCTTAGTGATTGGCTATATATATTATGTACTCGACTTCTTAATAAATTAGGAACAGATTTACTTGGATCAATACAAATAAAAATTCATAAAACATTAGAAGTTGTAAAGTAAGATAAATATTACTTTATTAAATATTATTTGTTATTTAAAAGGGCTAAATTAAACGAATAAAAACTATTTAACAGAGAATGTTTTACTGGTGAACAGCTATTACCGTCTGTAATGCGATTTTTAACGAATCCTACGCAAACGCCGAATTCCAGGGTGAAGGTGGCAACTCTAATATTTATAACTCAAATTGCTGAAACTGCCGAACCATTAACTCTGAATAATTCCATTGGACCTGGTCTTGCAAGACTATTAGATTGGACAAGTGATGTAAAAAGTCAGGATGTTCGGAGACATGCTCAAAATTCTGTGATTGCTCTTTATAATTTAAATCCGTCAAAATTGACAATTATCCTTTCAGAACTACCAAAGTATTATCAAGTAAGCCTTTTAATGTAATTATAATTTAATGCGATTAAAAAGTTTAAATAATCATTAATAATACAAAAATATCTATATCTACTACACATTTATGTTCATTACATCTTTAATGTATAAATATCTAATGCATCACACTAATAATTAACGTATTACTTTAGTTTTTAATTATTTAATTAATAGTTCAAGGCATGAAAAATATGGAATATTTAATAAATTTGGAAATACAATATTTTTTCTATGTTTAAATATAATTTTAACAAGTCTTGAAAATCTTCATAAATATGTAATGTTTAGAAAATAACAGTATTCATAATAATTATGTAATCCTAGGAAGCTGCATTACCACTTATTCAAAACCATTTGAGAAAATCCTCGATTACAAGTACACCAGCTTCTCCTGGTACACCTTCACTAAGAGTGCCGAATTCACCAGCTCGCACGAAAAGTAAGATAGACAACGAAACCATAGATGATAGCTTGAATTCAGAAGAAGTGTATAAGTATGTATATATAATATTTTTTGTATCTCATTAAATTATTGCACATTTCAATCCTAAAATTTATTTAAAATAAATTGTTAGATCTTTGCGACGTACAACGGCAGAAATACAAAATTATGGATTCGAACGACTAGAAAGAGCGACAACTAGTAAAGATAGTGGTATTAGTAACATGGCTGATATTGAAGAAAGGCTAGAAGGCCTTACTTTATCAAATTCTGTATGTTCCATTTGCAATTTTAATATCAAAATAATTAATTTTATTCTAATAATTATAATCATTTTATTAGGGACGATCTTCCTCTGTTTCTTCTCCTACTCAACGTGGACAAACTGTTAGTAATGTGACAATTAATGGCTCGAATGATACTATTGCTGGTGATTTTATATTGACTCAAGAAAATAATGGTTATAAAACACATGGTTCATCTCCTGATTCAATCAAAGGACCTGAAGTTCTTGATAATACGTTGAAGATTTTGCAATCCGAGGAATCGCAAATTACAGAAAGAGTAGCGGCATTACAAGAATTCCAGTTATATGTTCGAGAGGGTGATGCTCTTTATATAAAACAACACTTTAAGTAAGTTGTTTTATTGTTTCATTATTTTATATAATTAAAAAATTTTATGAAAATTTGATTTATATAATTATATGCATTTAAATTTGAAATGATTGTTTTGCTCTATGAAATTTTATTTTACGAATTTTTAGAAGACTGCTTAAAACATTAATTGGAAGTTTGGCTAGTGATAATAAAGAAATGCAAATTGAAGTACTTCAATCTCTTATAGATATGCTAAAGTGTCCAGAATTATCAGAAAGCTTTTCTAATTATGCTGAATTATTAGTTTTAAAAGTAATTAGAGCACACAAATTTGATGATCAAAAGTCTGACATCAGTAGCAGTTGCAACAATAGTAGAACCACGGTAAAATATCCAGAGGTACATTTAGGGTTGTTTATATTAACTTTTTTTTTATCTTTTCTTTTTTTAGTTTTTTAAATTCAATTTATATAAATAACAGTATTAAATAAATGCAAAACTATGTTACAAAAATTAATACATCAAAAATAATTTAATTAAGATACAGTATGATGTTATTTTATCTGTCTGAAATAATTAAAACATATTTTAATTACGTTTCTAGTGAAATATTTTTTTCATTAATATCTTTTTCTTTAATTTTACTTTGATGATATTTATTATGGGGATTTATATATAATATTATCTATTTACTTATTTATTATTTATTTATATATTTACTCAATTAAAGGTTGCTATATTTTTATTAATGGTTATTAATATATAAAGGTACTAAGAATGGCAGAGAAATGTGCAGCAACTGTAGCTGTAATTTTGCCACCTGAACAAACTATTCAATTTGCTTCATCAATGATGACCACAGAGCCGTTTCCACAAAACATGGGTGCAATAAAAATGCTTCACAAAGTAGTAGAATATTATGGTAAAGAGGCAATAAAACTACATCTTTTAAAAGTCATGCCAGGGCTTTTAAAGGTAATATATACACATTTTTTTAATTTATAAATTATAAATTAAATTTATATCAATAATTGTATTTTATTCTAATGATTTTTTATCATCATTATGTAGTGTATGTTTTAAGCAGTCATTTGATATATAATACTAATGGTACTGCGAAAATTTATTTAATACTAATAATTTTTATTTACATTAAATTACATATTATATAGCAACTTATAATTTAATATGTATAATAATAATAATATTAATATAATAATATGTATAATAAGGATTATGTGACTTTTCCCAACTTTACACTTTAATTGTATGCATTAGGCTTAATGATATATTGGTGCATTGAAAAATATTGATTTTTATCGTACGAATTTAAATACTAGTAACAAAAATGAGTTTAATAAATAAAACTTGCAGGCCTATGATGACACGGAATCGACAGTACGTAAAAGTGCGGTGTTTTGCATGGTTGCAATACACGCAGCAGTCGGCGAAGAAGTTCTTAAACCTCATCTCAGCTCTCTATATGGCAGCAAGCTCAAACTTCTTAATATCTATATTCAACGGTCACAACAAGCCAGCAGTCAGCCCGCGAGTCCACGAAGCAACAATAATAAGAATTAATTATCAACGAACTCAAGTAGTAATGCTTGCACTGCAGCTGTTACACTGAGAATAGTAATTATGAAAAGATTTGTACATCTTGCCGCTAGGCACGCTACTTTTTCGATATCTTAGCGAGACTCAACCGTAATCTGCAGCCGAATGTTCGCTCTTGATAAAGTACAAAGAATCGAAAGCGAGACTGAACGGTTATGCATCATTATAAGCAACAGTCAAGACGAGCACCGAGGATTAAGGCGTCTAATTTCAATGAGTTCACTTGGAATTCTATTGTGTCTCAAATGACTGTGTACATATTTAGATGAATGTTTTCGCAAAAAGACCGTTAAGCGCACTTGTTCTTTTTAACGTTGGTCGATCGATACAATTGACTGTACAGCATCTTGAGCAATAAAAGCAATTAATGAATATATTGTATTAATAATTTTATACTAATGATAAATCTAATTAAATCATTTTAAAAAGTGTCTGATAATGAAGTTTTCGTAAAAAAAGATGCTATGTGATATTTTTTTATATGTTTTGAATAATAGATGAGATAAAAAGTTAATATATGACTTAATAATAATATATTTTTAACTGACTTTTTAAAAATTGAGATTATGTGAGCTTAATATAAAAATTAACGAAAAGTATCGATCGACCAAGGACATTCTTTAACATGTTACTGTGAGGGCTTTTAGTTTACAGTATGTGCAAAAGAAAATCGTTCTTGACAAATACAAATATGCGCAACACTGATTTTCAATTGAAAAGATTCTAACTCTTTATATTACATTAATATCTTTCCCTTTACTTACTTTTTGATGTATCAGTTACATGTTTAGTATTATAATTCGTTATTACACTTGATAATTAATTATTGATTTGGCGTATTATTTTCAACAAAGATACGTAAAGAATCATAATATATAGATGGCATGTGCTAGTCAACAATCCTAAAGGATGCACATAAAGATGTGAAGAAAAATTGGAATATCTTCTCTTAAAAACGTCAAGTACAGGAAAATAAATTAAAAGCAAAATTTATCATGACGAACAAAGTGAGATAATAATGTGAGTAATATGTTACATTAAAATATTTACGAGTTCGTTTTAGAGCCTCGTTCAATTACCAATATATAGAAATTGACGCTAAATTGAATTTAATTAATAATGTTCATTAACATAATTCTTTTGTGCCATTACCATAATTTTCTTATGTACATAGCAAGACAAATGCGAGTAATGTTCTTACATTTCTTAATAGTTATTAGTGTAAAGGAATTATATAGTGTGGTCAATCAATAAATTAAAAAAAAAATATTATAAAAATATTTTTTCATATATAAAATAAACAGTAAATTTTTAATTGATTATATCTCAATAAATGTAAGCAACATATAGTACATAGAATAAAAATATAATTTGACACATATTTTGCATGTGAATAATCAAGTGCCAAAAAGATTGAATTTTTAAATATATTTCAACATTTATTTAAAATTGTTTGTAACCTTTTTGAAAAGCATTTTTTTAATTACAATTTGTACAATCACAAACAATTTAATGAATTAAATACATCGATAAAATGATAGATATATTTGTAATAAATTTTAAAAACACAATTCAAAAAATTATATATCTTAAATGAATGTTACTCTAATTTCCTTGTTAAAGTTTCATTTTTTTACTACAGCTTAAAAATAGTTTTAGTATGAAACGATTATATGTGTATATATACAGTTTATTATAAATAAATGTAGAGTACATATTAATATAGTATTAATATTACAATAACTTTTTCATTACTATATGTATAATTTTAATTTCACTTTCAAACAACTACATTTAGTAATGAATGCTTATTTTTGTGCACCATTTTAGATATGACTTATTAACCATAACTGTTAAACAGCGATAATTCGGAATATAAGATTAATCATAAGAAGAGTGATGAATTGAATTGCAGAAATTTATCTCTTTAGTTTCAGTTTTTTTAATATAGCGTATTATGTAAATTTTACCTTAAACTACTCTATACCTTTTTTTTTCAATAATCCATTTTAATTTTAGTCAATCTAAACAAGTTTTTTTGTTAAATTTTGTATTTACTGAAGAAATAGTTATTTCTAAATATGATACATATATTCTTATTATAATCTTGACAATTACGTATTTTTAATAATACAATTTTATATCATTAATAATTAAGAAATTTGAATTATATGTATTTATTTTTTTTATAATCATTATATTATAAGAAATAGATTTTATTATTTCATTAATAATGTACAATTATTACAATTATTATTTAGCTTATGAATTACAAACGAAATTAATATTACAAATTGTACCGCATTATTTATTTATGTAAATATTAAAAGTTATTTTATTCAAGAATTGATGTGCATTGTGTAAAAAGACAAGATAAAACATTTAAATCTTTTCCCTCATTTTTATAATAGGGGTTAACTTTAATTAATTAGTGGTAAAAGCAAAGAATTAAAAATAATATTAACATAAATTTGTTATAAATTTTTAATAGTTAATACAAACTCTTAATTTATGTTTCATAAAAATTATATAGTAATTTTGTTGATCCATAGTACTATATATTATTCATTAAGTAAAGTAGTATAAGTATAATTTATCCATATTATCTTTATTAGAAATTATTAAGAATGTAATGTTGAAATAGAATTGTACAATATAAAATAAATTCAGATTTATATTTCTAAAGTTAAATACAATAAACATACGTATTTTTAATTATAGATTACTATAATCATGATCTTGAAAATTTAAAATTTATTCAAAACATTGAAACTGGTATTAGTATTTTAACATTATTGTTAATATTTATATAGTATGCAATGATAAAATATTCTTTCTCGAAATTAAAAATGATTAATATTCTATGCTAGTATGTAAAAATTTTTTTATTATAAAACGTATAAGATAATGATTTTAATAAATACACGTGATGATTTGATTATATGAGATTGTTTATGCATATAAAAATATAATGCTATATTGTTTATATGAAATAAAAAAATATATGTACGAAGAAACTACACAGAGTGCAACTTTCTACAAATACAAGTAGCATAAAATACTAAATAAAAAATTTATTTTGTACAAACAGTAAATCTGAAGTTTCTTAAGCTGAATTATTCTATATAATATGAAGTAAGTAATACAAAAATAATAAATAAGTATATTATATGATATGAATGTCACATTGAATTATATTTAATTATATAATGATTTTAAATGCTAAATTTTAGTTAAAGATTAGCTACTGTATCGAAACTAAAATTAATATTATATAGTCATACATTACTCTATAGGTGGTTTTTTTAGGATAATCTAAAAATATATCTTGAATTCAAATGTTAATCTTTTCAAAAAAATAGGATTATATAATCGAATATATATATATATATATATATATATATATAATATGCATCTATTACTCAAGTATTGTTTTATATTTCTTTATTATATTATGTAAAATTTCTAATAATTAAAAAATGTTTTATTATAATTTTATATTCTATATGATTTAAAAAATTCTTGTTTCATTAATATTATTAATCTTTCGTACACAATTAGTAGTTGGTAAACGCTTTTTCGTAATAAATATTAGCTTTTGTTAGCATTATTACGCTTATTTTTTACCGAACTGTTTTCATCAACAGGTTTTCATCTAAAAATTCTCATAATAGAATTGTTTATCAAATTGAAAAATTTCAATATTCATATCTTTTCATTACCGATACGATCTTTTTTTATTATATTCCTATCTACGAGCTGTTTATTATATAGTTAACATTGAAATTATTACTTAATTTTTAAATCGTTACTCTCGTATTAAATTTTCTATTAGTACAATAAATAAGAACCTTGTCATTTTTCGGAAGTCGAGATTAAAAGCTGACTTAATCCTTTATTAATTTTTTATTTCAATTTTAATTCATAAAAGAATATGAGAAAACATTTTTCGATTATTTTATTCTTGTTTTATTTAGAGATTTAGCTAAATCGATTGATAAATTAAAATCTTATTGGCCATCTTTTTGGTGTTATAAGAGATTTTTTATTTATTTTAATTTTACACGTTCGTTAGTAAAATATAATTAATAACGTTGTGAAACAACGATTTATTATAATTTTCAAGAAGTGATAAATAAAAGTGATCCTTTGCAGCTATGTTTTCATTGCAAACAAAACATCAAACTTCAGGATAAATAATTGAAAAATAATTCTACCGAGCAGTGTCACCTTAAAAATTAGCTTTTTATTTATATGTATTTAAATGTAAATATAAAGTAGATAAACATTTGAACGTATTTTTTTATATAAAATATAGACAAAAAATGAATTAGGGAAATATTTAATCAGTCTAAAATTTTTGTGTTTTATTTTAAATTATTAAATGCAGTCGACTGTTAGATTATTTCTTTTATAATATAATAAGAGAATCTATAATGAGTATAGTAAAAATTGTATACTATTTTATAAATCTATAGATACTAATGAGTTAATTAACGATGTACAAACACTGAAAGGTTCAAAGAAGAAAATGATTCAACATTTCTAATAAGTTAATAATTCACTAAATATAGGTAATGTGCTTCAACTTAATGAATTTTATTGATATTATCTTTATATATATATATATATATATATATATATATATATATTGGATATTATAATAGCTACATAAGTATTATTTTGCATGAGAAAATAATATCTAAACTCAGTATTAATTATAAATATATTTAACCAATTTTTAGTAAAATGAACATTAATATAATAATTTTAAGAAAATAAAGAAATATAAAAAAGATAAAACTAGTGGTAAGACATTAAAATCTTGAAATGCCTACTTTAGTCTCTTAATAAAATTCATTTGATTCATGGGATGAAAGCATAAATTCCAGAATAACGAAAATACCATGAAAATTGTATAACCTTTTCACTCAATAAATATTTTTAAATTATATAAGTAAATTTTAATAAATTGTTTGATACTATTATTTTATTAATTTTAACAACGTTATTATTTAATTTAAATAACTTATAATAATTAATATTTCTTGTATATAAAAAATCAATATTAACTAGTGAAAGTTTGAATCTTATAGAATTAAACTGAAAAACTGCTAAGTTAATTGAATTAAATTATTTTCGAATTAGAAACCTATGATATTATTTAATAGAGTATTAATTTTTAAAACTTTAAATCTAAACTATTTTAGATCCTAAAAGTAATTTTTAAATTCTTTTTTAACAATAATTTAATACATGTAAAGAAGTAACATTAATAATCTTGGTTTTTGGTATCCGTGATATACATATATTGTGTAATCTAAAAAGACAAATGCAGGTTTTATAGAATTTTACAATCTTAAAATAATATTTTCATTAAAAAAAAATATTTTTAACCTTATATGTCATATATTTAATAGATATGATACTAAAATATATTTTCAAATAGTTGCAAATGAATTCTTTTACATGTTCAAAACTTTATTAATTTAACTATTAAAATTAAAATTTTTTTTGAGTCCACAT